TTTGAATTTCACTCGCGCATATTTCTTGGGGTTTCCGACACAATTGAGAGCCCGTATAATGTACCTGGACAGATAGATGGATGAATATATCTATCTTTCCAATATTTGTGTACGTAATCCCCAGGCTGATTTTTGATGTGCAGTATGTGCTTTTTGTTCAAGTTAAGATTTGAGATGTACAAAATAAAATAAAATTTTATTTTATTTATCTAGTGAGGTTGCACCCAATTTCATTTTACTTAAATAATATCAGTTTATAATATTTATTTAAAATCAAAATAAAATTTTTATTATTAATTATATTATTAATTCAAATATGAGCGATAACAAAAGAAGGAAAAATGAAAATTTGATAAGAGTTTCCGTTCATTGTAATCAAAAAACGAAAAGATGACTCCTTGGTTAAATGCACAATCTGCAAGACGTCTCATGACACAGCAGCTTCAACATTCAAACTGAAAACAGTTTTTAAAGAGAATACTTTTGGAACTAAGGAAAAAAAATGGCAGTTACAATAATCCATAATCAAAATTTTCGCAGCTAAATTATTTAAAAAAAAATTCTTGTGCACGAACAAAATCTGAGACTATGAATACTGCAGCAAAATGCTATCAGAAGATCTGGATTCTGTATCATATATATCTATTCTATCAGACGCATCGAATCACAATGAAATAAAACCTTATCTAATTTTAGTAAGGCATTTCGATATTAAGAACGGTATTCAAATTAAGATTTTAAATTTGGAATCAATCGAAGGGGAAACATCAGACATTTTGTCTAATAACTTATTTCGGGTTATTACAGACAATTTGAATAAGAAAATTTTGGCCCTCTCGGCTGATAACACAAATACTAACTTTGGAGGACGCACCCGTAAAGGTGTCAATAATGTGTACACAAAATTACATGATCTACTGAAACGAAATATTTTGGGAATTGGTTGGAATGCTCACATTATATCAAATGCCATCAAAACAACATTTAGTTTAATGTCGGTAGATATGGAAGTAATTATTACAAATATTTCAATCGGTTTACAAATCGGGTAGCAAGCTTGAAATAATTTTGTGAAGGGGCTGGTGTTCAATACAAAAAACTGCTTGGTTATTCCAAAGTCAGATGGCTTGCTTTAACTCCAGCATTAAGATACGTTTTGCAGTTATAAATGTCCTACAATTTTGAAGATTTCTTTTCAAAACAATATGTTAGATCCTATGCTTTATTTTATTCACAGTCAGGCGTCGTTGTTTCATAAAATTACTCTACAAATTGAAGGAGATAAAATTTCAGCAGCAGGAGTTTAAGATTTAATAATATATTTTTACCACTAATTCTAAAGAATAAACTGACCATCTTCGAAGATTCCTCACCCGGAATAAAAAATGAATTTTTAAAAGAAGTTAAACATTTCTATAAAATTTGAAGAATGGAACAATGGACAATGAACTTTAGAGTATTAAATTGTTTCATATGGACCTTTCTAAATAGCAAAATTGAATGGAAAGAAGTTTCTTCAGCAGTTGAATTTGTAACGAAGATATTGGTATTAATCACAACTTTCTCTTTGAAGGAATTCAATTAATTAATTTTTAAATGAAGAAAAATTGAAGAAATGGAACGACGAGAAAATAGAACTTGACAAAACTTAAGAAATGTTTCGGCATTTTAGAGCAGAACATATAGATATTTCCTTATGTTGTCCAGGCACTAATTCTGCTGTTGAAGGGGTATTTTCACTAGTAAATGAAACATTAGCAGTCAAATTTAATATGCAAAATGAAAGTTGTGACTACATCATGACACGAACATCCTCATTTAGCAAAAAAAAATCCACTCCGACAAAAAAATATGTTTCTAATGGAAAATAAAGTTTTTATCGATTTTTCTCCTCCCCTACAAAGTGTACTCTTATTGAAGATGTAAAAAACTAAACTCCCGTTGAAAACATCTAGGAATTGAAATCCGGATCGATGGAGCGTTGCCCACGTGCAGGAAGTAGTTTTCATTTTCCATTGCCCTCGGGATACGTTCGGTCGAAAACTTTGGTTTTGTATTATCCGGTTCAGTTTGGCCGGCAGATTCCAATGGATTAATATACGCTTTGGGTTCGAATTGTTATCGTTTGTTGGAATCAACTGGGCTCTCGGTTTTCGGCATTTCAAAAAGATTCAAATTACATTTTAGTAAACGCTCACTTCATCCCGTTTCGATTACTGCAAGTGATTACACCCCTAATGATGAATATACTCTCCTTCCTCATTCTTGTAACCAGCTGAGATAAAAAGATTTATATTATAAAGAGATTTAAAACGTGATTAGGTTAAAGACTCGACGTATTCGTTTATACCAGAAATTCTTAAAACAGTTGCCTTTTCTAAAACCGTCTATTTACCAACAAAGATAATCAAACACAGATTGTGGTAACCCAAAAATAACATTAATACAGTGAAAACTCCCTATAGTGAAGCTCTGTATAACGTGAAACTCTGTATTACGAACAAAATTTGTGGTACTATTAGGTCTCCATACAAAGCTATGTATTAATCCACTCTGTATAACGAATTTCTCACTCTCTATACCGAAAGAAAAAAAGGGCACATCAGGTAACAAAGTAAGGAATGTACGCCAACTTGTAATTAATAGAGTCTCTTACCTTCTCAGAATTCCTTACCCTAATGATCTAATTAACGAGAACCTGGTCGTGTTTTTCTCGTAATAAGCGATTATGTTAATGCCTTTATTGATATGTATAAAAGCACACCATTGTTTCAATCAGTTCTAATTTGACTTGGTGAATACGGCGAGCATGAGGAGTAAGCGAAAAATTTTATCTCTAGATCATAAAGTTGCTTTAATTCGGGAGATAGAAAGGGGAGAAAAGAAAAGTGATGTGGGACGTCGATATGGACTTACACCGTCGACTATAAAAATCATTCAGGCTGAAGCGGCAAGCAGTTCTACTAAAAAACTAAGAAAACCAAATTTTGAAGATTTGAGTCGGGCAATGTTGCAGTGGTTCCAACAGCAACATCTTAAAAATGTACCACTCTCTGGACCTATCGTAAAACTAAAAGCAGAAATGTTTGCTGAACAGCTTGGCATTATCGATATCAAGGCTTCGAAAGGATGGTTTGGGAAGTTCAAGCAGGGACATGGAATAAATTATGGACAGATAAGTGGTAAAGCCCGTGATTTCGACAGAAACGTCACTAACGATTGGCTGGAGAAGACATGGCCAAAACTAGCTGACGCCATTTTTAATGCTGACGAAACTGGTACTTTTTACAAAATGACGCCCGATAAAACTTTTAAATTTCGAAGCGAAAAGTGTGTGGGTGGAAAACTTTCTAAAGAACGTATAACAGTATTACTAGCTGCAAATATGAGTAGGAGAGAAAAAAAAAAGCTAGTCGTGATTGGAAAATCAACTAACCCACGATGTTCTAAGAACATCAAGCATTTGTCGGTCACTTACAAGACAAACAAGTCTGCATGGAAGACATCACAAATTTTTGAAGAGGAGATACGGAAATGGGATGCAGAATTAAAGGGGAGGAAAATATTACTTCCCTTAGATAACTGCCCTGCACATCCCCATATTCCAAATCTACGGAATATTGAATTGGAATTTCTTCCAGCTAAAACAACAAGTGTATTACAGTCGATGGACCACAGCTTAATAAAAAGGCTTAAGAGTCATCGAGTCCGAAGACAAATTTTCCATTAATTTACTAGTTTCAGTCATCTTTATTAGTAAATCTTGGAAAGAGATGACAGCAGAAACAATTCAACACTCCTATCGTCGTACAGGACTTGTTACCGAGACAGAACAGGACAGGACTTGGAACATGATCGGCCACTAAGCGAGTGGATAAACCAGTTTCAAACAACAATTACGTTTACAAGTGAGGAGTTGCAAGATTTTATGGTGATAGATCAGGATTTGCCTTGCCCAGCCCAGCAGACTTGACAGAGGAAGCCATATTACAACAAGCAAAAAAGGGTGAGGAAGAGCACCAAGAGGAAGAAGAAGATGAGCAACAAGCCCTATATTCAGTTAGGCTGCTAAACAATTTTTTTATGTATTATGGGGAAGATGCCCCTCTCGAAGAAATAGTGAAAATACAAGCCAAAGTACGAGATGCGTATTGGCATACTAAAAAAATTCAAAACAAAATGACCTATTATTTGAAAAATGTTGCTAGGTAGATGTTAAAATATGTACTCGTATATAAAATAATTAACTATTACAGAACACATATGCGTATTGTTATTTTTCAAGTGCCTATAACTATTTATAACGCAAAAAAAATCCGTCCCTTCAATTTCGCTATATAGAGTTTCGACTGAAGTTTTTCATTCATGGGTTCATTTTAGTCTGTCCTGAATAAGCATTACAGCTTGTCGGGTCTCCTCTGGATATAAGGTCATTCATTACAATAAGAAACTGGTTAGTTTTGGTTAGTTTCTAATTAATAATTCGAAATCTTTCAACAAGCAGATTTACACACCACTGTACTGCAACCATTTTCGGGTAAAGACAACGATTAACTGAGGATTTACTTAGTTTTGCGCTTTTAATTTTACTGCTCGTTTATAAAAAATTCCAGAAAAAGCTTAATCCAGCACAAATCTTTATTGGAAATCCAACCTCCCCTGAATTCTAATGCTATCTACTAATTAATACTAATTCAGAGACTATAGGCCCTAGTTTTCGTTTTAGTTTTATATTGTTATCTATAATATGTTTGGTTGTGAACCAATAATTTATTATTTCCTCGAAAATTAAGGTGGCGTCTTCTCTCTGAGTCGCAGGAAGCAGGAATATGTTATATCATTTCACCAAAATAGTCTTGAAAAGACTTATGCCCGACACCGAAATTGTTCACAACTGGACTCTTTTCTGAAATAGCCTATAACGCTCTACTCTCTGTTGAAGGTGGTCGACCGATCGATCAACATCTTAAATGTAATGGCAAGGTAAATATTTATTGCAGGGTATATTGGGTTCGGGCTTCGCTCTCAAAGTGCAACAGAAACAACGTCAAAAACATTTCAACAGGCAGATTCCTGCAGCGGCGATGCTCATTCAGTGTCTGTGGCGGTGTTATGCCGCTGACAAGAGTTTCAATTCGACCGCTACCTGGCAAGTTTACCTGAAGGACTCTGCAGAAAATCAACAGGTAATAATCTCGCTCAAATTCGGTCGAGCAGAACATTTATTCACGGAAAGTGTCAAGCAACAGCAACAAAGCATTACATTTAACCTCATTTTGTTCTATTAACAACACGAATACATTCACTGACATGATCGTCAGTATTGACAAACGTCAAAATTCAAGCCGTCCAGTAATAATAATAATAATAATAATAATAATAATAACATACTAACCAAAACATTAAATAATATACAGTCAGTCCAGTTTTTTATAATACTTCAAATGTAATACAAACACACTAAAGAAATCTCGTGGGCAGCGTTAATTAATATATTACATTTTTCACGAACTTGTAACACAATTAATAGTCTATGGCACCACCAACAATCAACGGTAGAATTAAAATTGTTACTTTACCAACAAAGTTTGTCTTAAGTTCCAGTAAATATTAACAATATAATAATTGAAATAAAATCATCAGTTAAATGAATTATTTCAAAAAAATCTATTTAAAGAATAAATTAATTGTAGTTTTATACCTTTCATTTCATTAATTTTCTTATATACTGACTACATATACGGACATATTCACAGAATCTATGGAATCGTGCAAAAGTTTAAATGATTTTTCAATTATCCAAAGTTTACTATTTTTTTATAAATGTAATGAATTTAATTTTTTAATATTGTCAGGTAGGCAATTTGGGAGCAAGGTATAGCATCCCGTTGCCATAAGCTTCTCAAGAACTGGCAATTTATATTTGTTGAGTTTGTTCCTTGCATTGTACTCATGGCCGATTTTTTCAAGAGTGTGTTTATTTTTGTGTTGACGTATTAACAGATTGTGGCAGAATATTTGACCCGGATCGAGATCTTTTGCCAAATCATATAGGTAATTCTTTAGCTGGGAAGAGCACTGTTTTCTTGTAAATTACTTTTAAGATTTTAAGTGCATGATAGAGCAGTTTTCATTGTGCCTCGTTTAAGACCGAAGACAAACACTTGAATCTGTCTAAAAGTGCCCTAATATTTTTGACAACATATGCGGGCTGAACATCTGACTTTAGCTTGAAAAGCCCGTTAATATCTATATTACTTATTGTATCAGTGTATTTTATCAATTGGAATTCACTCGTAGCATTTTGAATTTGAACATATTGTTTTCGATTTTTTAAGTTACTTTGTAATAACTATGAAATGCCTCTAAATCCGCTATCGTGCAGCTAAAAGTTGTTCGTGGTCGACTGTGTCGAATGCTTTAGCCAGAGTACGAAATATACACAGTGATGGAGCTTTTTGTCTATACATTTATGTTAGTAACTAATCCAGCTACTGCATCCTCTGTCGATCGAATTTTCGATAAAATGTTATACTTTTCCAAGTAATCTACTATCTTTTGTTTTAATATTTTTTAAATATGTTCGTAAAACTTGAAACCAGTGAAATCGGCCTGTAACTCGACCCACATGTCTCCGACCAACCTTAAATTTTCAGATCTAATGCCATCCATTCCAGGAGCGTCATTATTTTTTAAGCCATTGATTGTTGTAAATTTACATATTGTGGTAATTTCTCACCTATTTCTGAGAAATAGCTAGAAAAATGTAACTTTATTTAGAGTATTATATCTCCGAAAACATTCGGTTGGTCCCAAACCCGTGCAGTAATATCCCGGAAATTTCCGAAGTAACTTGGATTCGAGGAAAACAAAACTGACGTCGTAAAATGACGCTTTCCGCACGCTAGATAGTTGCATAATTAGGTATTTTACAAAAGGGAGTGGAAATAGCATATTATGCGGTGCGGTAAACGGCGTTTGACTTGACTTGGCAAGTGTTTAATAAACGAGTGACTTAAAAAGTTTACCGAATGTGTTGCACACTATACTTTTTCTACGACCGTTAGTTTTTGGGTACATTTTCGCAAAACAACACGAATACATTCACTGTCATGACCGTCAGAATTGACAAATCTGAAAACTCAAAGCGAGGGAAATATCTGCGAAAACATCCGATTGCTCCCAAACCCGTGCGGTAAAATCCCGGAAATGTCCGAAATAGTGCGAATCCGTGGGAAACAAAACTGACGTGGTAAAATGACGCTTCCCACACGCTAAATCGGTGTGTAATTAGGAACTTCACAGACGGAAGTAGAAAAATATCATTTTTTAATGTTAATGGGCCCTAGGAATTCGAAATCGGTACTTATTAAATAAATAACTGTTTTCTATTCTTAGGACCAAAGTAAAACTGAGTGACTATAATTTTTTTAATGTCATAGATGCAACAGTTGAGAGATGTCATAATTATAAATAACTGAAGCAGGTATTAAAATGATATAAAAAGCCTTAATTAAATTCAAAAATGCACTGCTACAAAAAAAAATATTCTACCAAATAAATAAATTACATCCTCAAAAATGTAGTACACACTTTCATTTATATTTACGTACTTGATTTAGTTCTTCTTTGCGCGCTAAATAATGAGTTTATTTTGGCAATGCCAAGATAATATTCATTTATAATCTGTTTCTCAGGAATGTGGATTAATAAATCTTATAATTGTTGCTAATGTTTGCATATTTCAGATGTTAATAAAAATTTACATGTTCTAATAACATTGTTTAAAGATACTTTGAAATTGAATTTTAGCAATTTGTTTTCATGTATATTTCATATTATATTCAGGGTAACCACCAAAGTCCTCATTTTATGGGAACAGTTTCAGGAAATCTTGATGCCCTCAACAGCAATCGAAAGTAATAAATAAATTAATTTGCGTAAGTTTTTAATCACTTTCCTGTCAAAATTGACATTTTGTATACAATAAAATATCAAATTAGGGTATTTGTTTTGTAAAAAGTTTCACATCATTTCATCACTTTACATCATCATAATTTGCTACACTAAATACTTAAAATTCTGGTTCTACTCCCGTGTGTAAAATGCCAAATTACACACCGATCTAGCTTGCGGGAAGGGTCACTTTACCACGTCAGTTTCGTTTTCCACGAATCAGAGCCACTTCGGACATTTCCGGGATTTTACCGCACGGGTTTGGGAGCAATCGGATGTTTTCGGAGATATTACCCACGCCTTGAATTTTGACGTTTGTCAATTCCGACGGCCATGTCAGTGAATGTATTCGTGTTCTTTTGCGAAAATGTACCCAAAAACTAACGGTCGTAGAAAAAGTATAGTATGCAACACGTTGGGTAAACTTTTTAAGTCACTCGTTTATTAAACGCTCGCTCCGGTCGTGTCAATAAAGTCGTGAGTCAAATGCAGTTTACCCCACTCGTTGCATAATATACTATTAAATTTATCTTAAACACCCAATTTCGAAGAAAGTATTCAAAATTCTATTAAAGTATAGTCGATCCAAGTGAATCAAGAATGCCAAAAATATAGATTAGGATTTTTTTTAAAAATTGGCACATTTGCAGAAATCTTAAAGAGAAACAGGGTTTTCAAAAATAGACCAATTTCTGTAGATTTTGTATTAAAAACGTGAATTTTGATATGCAAAGGTATGGTTAAAGGTAAAATGTTTAGGAAATTGATTTTCCCAAACTCATTACTTAAAAATGTTCCCATATGATAAGGACCTGATGCTGACAATGTTCATAGCATAATTTTATAACATAAAGGAATATGAAGGTTGATTATTTACTGTAATTTCGTTAATGCTAACTTTATTGGCGAAACTTTGGTAATTCAGTTGAGATAAATAAAAGTTTCGAAATATGTAGAATACGTAATCGACATCGAATACATAGCGTTTTTAAAAATACTGCTGAAATTTGAAAAATCATTAATTGGTGCAAAGGCGGATATTAACGACAGGCAGTAATTAATTGTGCATGAAGCCTTTATGCAATATCAGTCAGGACTCTAATTAAAAAGGTTGTTAACAATGTTCTTTGTTTATAGGCATCTAATACCCAGGGTGGAGGCACAGGAAGCGGTCCAAACTATTCAATGCCACTGTCAAAGGTGAGGTTCTTTTACAAGTTATTAATAGCAGCTGAAATCAAAATGTTTCTCGATTTTAATTTTTTAAGAATGTGTACATGACCGTTTTTGTAGTTGCACCCTTATGGAAAGCGCTTTATTTAAAAAACGAGCTTTTATTGTTTAGGTATTATGGGAAGTTTTGACTAATCTTTATCATCAATCATCATCATCATCAATCTTTTTTAACTAATTTTAAGATCCTCAGGCTAATTTCTTGAGATACATGTATACGAGAATAAGATTTTATTTGGTTTTTGGTGAAATTCGCAATACTGAATATGAATATTTAATCATTTAATTCAAAGTTTGAATAAGTGAGTGAATACGTATTTCTAAGTAGTTGCTATATTGCGCCGTCACTTTGTAAACTACCATTTGTAATCATCACAAACCCATTTTTATTATAACTTTTAACGTAAAATTCGTTATACACTATCTTCTGTAGTTAGTAAATTGTTTCTAATACTTAGTTGAATATCGTTACTCAAAAACTGCAAACGTATAAATGGCAAAAAAAAGTGTTTGTAGTTTACTAAACAAAACCGCCCGAGCCCAAGCCAATAACAAATAATATTACACTGCGTTCGGTTCGTTCTTTGCACAATTCTTTAGTAAAAGCTAAAAGCCACAGTTAAAAAAAAGTCTTTTATCCACCCTTAAATAGAAGGCTCAAGCGATAACCTGTCTTAAACCTAACGTATGATGAATGTTGATTTCCATTAGTGTTCTTCCGAAATTTCATCCCAGAATTTACTTTCGCAAATAACATACAAATTGGATGAGAGCTAAAACGATAAATAATGGTGCTGTGGACTTAAAGTTTATTAAAAAATATATTTTCATCAAAAATTGTATTTGAATTGATTGTTTGTTATAAAATACATGTTGTACTTGTTTCCTTTCATTCTTTTTTAAATTCGATTAAACAAATAGAGCTTTTGTTATCTAAAGGCCCGCCGTTTCGGATCCACTGTTATTTGTTTAGTTTTGCTGCAGCCATGCTTCATACCAATTAAATTGAATTGTTTGAAAGATGCCTTGCGTTGGTTCCCTTATTTTGACATTAAGTTTTCATTTCTTTTTTTAAGGTAAGGTCAAAGTTAATTTCAGACTTCTAAATTCCTAAAAAAAAAATTAAGTTATGTCCTATACTTATTCTATTAACAACTGTAGTTTTTTAGTCCTTATTTCATAATAGTTTTGGTTAGTTGGGTAAAGAACGTTAGGCAAGCTGCGTGAAAAGCGGAAACATGTCGTAAATACATTTAAACTTCGGGAAAATTGCACTCAAAAAATTCAAAAAATTTAAAAATTTGTTGTATCCGTCGACACGCTTTCAGAACCTTCTACTGTAAAAACTGTATAATCGCTGATACCACAGAGCGCGTATAGACTTTCAATTATCCTTCATAGTATGAGGAAAGCTCCTAGGACAAATTTATGTGTCTGTGGTTAGCCAGAGATTAAAGGATAATTACAGGTGGCGTGAAAAGCAATTTGGATTAACGTTTGATGTGGCTAAGAGATTTGTTAATTTTGACAAAAGATATTCTGATATCGTCGGTAATATGCGGTGAACGCGACGTAATTCTTAGTTGAAGAGGCGTCTAACCAGACTATTATTGGCCCAGTAATTTCATGCAGAATCGAGGGTCCTAATTGCGGGACCCTCAAAGCCGCAGGACCAAAAGTGAGCTCTCAGCCTTAACCCCGTGCCATCTTAGAAGGCATCTTCATATTATAAGGGTTGACTATGATTGTATATGGATTTATTTACAAGACTCAAATTCGCATCAACTAGGCATCAATAGGCTCAGAATTATCTAAAGTATTTTCTGAATGTAGACTTAGGGACCAAAGAAAAAATCTGGCCGAAAGGACGCAGTTAGGAATAAATAAAAAATATAATGCATATCATAGAAATTATTTAAAGATGAGATAAAATCAATTCTATTGATTTCTTAAAAATTCCCATTTATAAATTTTAAAGTTTGACCTATCATAATAACATTAATTGGCTCGTTTCTCTCAAAGAAACTGGCAATTAAGCAATTGCTATATATTATTATCACAACCTTTTCCCTTATCTGTTAAGCTAAGCTTATGCAAAAACAACTATAAATGTGAATTTAAATTTAAATTAAAAATGTATTAAATTTCCAGAAAAGGAAACTTAACTACCTAATACAAATTTCTTGCTGATTAAAACAACATCTCGTCTGATAGGGACGAACTCTATAATAACTTTTAATTTTGAAATAATATAACTTAAATGCGAATTTAAAACAAATTATTGCATGCAATATATACACTTCTTCTATTCTTCTTAAATTCCATCAAATGTTTCTGTAACACATTATTTCAATATTTTATTTATGGTGTTTTTAGTGTCCATACCCATTAAAATTAGAACCGTTTAAAAGAGTTCAAAAATATACACTAAAATTGTCGTTTAAAGTGGGTAGTTATTCTAGCTATTCTTCCTCTGTTATCTTACCAAAGCTTTTACGTCAATCAATGCATGTGTGTTTTGAATCGCTCTACTACTAGGAATAAGCTGCTGGTGACATCCAGTATACTAATTTGAGTCTGGTGGAATTTCGGAGTAATAAAATGGTTAAAGTCTGTTCATAGATATAAGAAAGTGACTAACTGATACGAATTAAGTAAAGGCCCGGGCAAGCTGTAAGAATGAAATATGGCTGAACAGGTCCGTACTTTGCTTAGAATTTAATTTTTTAATTTAACTAAACAATATTTATTTATTTATGTGTGTATTTATGTTTAAATCTAAAATAGAATTACAAATTATTTTTATTACCTACTTAAATTACTTAAAATTATTCACATAATATATCAGTATCACTATGTATATTATTTGCAATATGGATATACGATTGTTCTGCTTTTTCTATATGTTTAACAGAATTTGCCCAACTTTGTGGAGGGATGTTAAAATCTTCGGTTTCTATAAGTTTGAGGACATTGGAGTTAACACGGGGAAAAACATTGTTACGACGATTGGAGATGTCAGTTGTGCCAAGCATGTTCAATGGGATTAAATATACAGTGGTAAGGTGGAAGCCTTAAAACTGTATGCCCTACATTTTTTGCATAATATTCACAAACGTATTCCTATTGTAGGTTCAAGCTTTGTAGAACCTCAATTAATTGCTTTTTGGTATAATCTTCGTGAAAATAAATGTCGTTATTATACATGTAGTTTTGGATTGTTGCTTTACTGTGATAACCTCCACTGTCCATTACAATGACGCTATTAGGAGGAATGTTTGGAACTAGTTTGTTAAAGCAACTTTCAAATAAATCAGCGGTGGTGTTTTCATGGTAATCCAGAGAAGAATCTTTAATATTTTTCGCAGACAGAGAAAGTCCATTTGGAATCCAACCATCTTTAGAGCCAACATGCAAAATAGTTATTCTTTTACCTCTTTTTGATGGCGCGTTTGTTTTAGATTTCAGTTGGTGCCAAACGTGTATATATATATATATATATATATATATATATATATATATATATATATATATATATATATATATATATATATATATATATATATATATATATATATATATATATATATATATATATATATATATATATATACGGTAGGAAGGTGGAAGCCTTAAAACTGTATGCCCTACATTTTTTACATAATTATCACATACGTATTCCTTTTGTAGGTTCAAGCTTTGTAGAACCTCAATTAATTGCTTTTTGGTATAATTTTCGTGAAAATAAATATCGTTATTATACATGTAGTTTTGGATTGTTGCTTTTGTGTCACATGAGGGATGGGTTTTAGTCAACTGTATACTGTGATAACTTGCATTGTCCATTACAATTACGCTATTAGAAGGAATGATTGGAACTAGTTTGTTTTTAAACCAACTTTCAAATAAATCAGCGGTGGTGTCTTCATGGTAATCCAGAGAAAATTCTTTAATGTTTTTTGCAGACAGGGAAAGTGGTTGGAGTCCATTTGGAATCCAACCATCTTTAGATCCAGCATGCAAAATAGCTATTCTTTTACCTCTTTCTGATGGCGCGTTTGTTTTACACTTATCAGTTGAGTCAACCCAACCCTTCTACGGGGTATCATAAGGGTGGAACCAGGTTTCATTCAAGTAAATAATTGGCCTTTGTTGTTCTCTGTAAATGCTAATTTTTTCTAGATATTCCAGTCGCCATTTCCGAATTCTAAAAGATTCCATTCAAACTTGCCTCTGTCAATTTTTTAAAATGTAAAACCCATATGTTGAATACACTTCCATAAGGTAGTTCAGCCACATTTAACACCGGTTTCATCTTTTTCAAGCATCGTAATTAAGATATCTAATGTAGGCACGCTTTGTTCCTCGTATAACTGGTAAATTTTACGTCGTATTATAACTTGATCACTTTCATCTACGCTCGAGAAAATGTCAGCATCGCTTCTTTTTTCCTCGCTGAAATGGGATTGATTATTCACAATTTTCCATACAGTTGATGTTGGAATTTTCGTCGATGTGGCCGTTTCTTGTAAAGATGCTTGCTTGCTGGCACCACGTTCAATGAGAGTCAAATAAACATTGTTTATAACTTCCTCAGTCTCAATAGAATAGTGATTTCCTACACTTGAGCGGGAGCATCTCCTGAGATACACTAGACTCGCACATATTTTGCATAATTCGCACAGGATTCAACACACGCTGTATTACACACGAAGTAAGAATGATTACTAATAAACTTAAACTAAGTAGTATACCAAACCAAAGAATATGAAACACCGGTAGGTATAAAATTATTTTCTATTACGGACCACAATTTTACCTGAATTTAAATTCCCAAACTCTAGCTGATAATCTTGTTGCATTGTATGTTAATGACCATCCTTGGATAATCCCATTCAAAAGCAATTGGTCACTTTCTTATATCTATGAACAGACCATACATTATTGAATATAATAAAACATTTCTCCATATTTGCCACACTTTCATGAAACATGGCGTGTGGCATTATCAACATCATGTTGAAAGAGGAAATTTTATTATTTCAAGTTCTATTACGACATTTAAAAGTAACAAGCATGATGATCCTGATGTGCATTACTCTTTATTCAACAATATTAGTTATTATTAGAATTTGACTTGTGACATGTGGTATTAGAATAACTCTAGGAAACTAGTTATACGTTGGTCACAGAGATGTCGTCAGTGGTTTATCCCTTGCTTTATAACTATACCGCTTTAATTTTTTTTTGTTAATGTATATTTTAGTACCTAAGTGCAAGATTAACATTTCGATTTATATATTGTATATTATTATATTGATTTCTCATGTTTTACAAGCTGTTGTTAAATTTCAATAAACATAAATCAGTTTGTAAAGCATCGAAAGTTTGCTAAAAGCTAAATATCTAGATTTAGATGCAGCCCATGTTCGGTGTCTCGGTGTTAAGTCCTCCATACCTTGGGTCAGTCCCTAATATTACAGGTGGCCAAAAAGGCTTCAGTTCTAAAACGTCGCAAGTCTAGGAATAGGATGGAATCAATAATAATCCCTGCGTCGACCACTCCAAGCACCCCACAAGGGGAGGCCTCTATTTCCGGGCACGGGGTATCAAACGCCGAACCATCGAGATGTGTATCGGATTCTGATATGGTATTCTATATGGACGACACGCGATCGGGTGAGTTTTGTTTTTATGGTTTTTGGGTGAACATTTTGTTGACAACACGCGATCGGGTGAGTTTTATTTTTATACTTTTTAGGTGAACATTTTGTTGAATATAACAATACACTCACCAAAATTTCTATTTATGACTAATTGCAAGTACAGAGTTATTCATTATACACCCACCCACCTACAGCGTTAAGTTTGAAAAATAGAAAAAAAAGTGTAAATCCAAAAGTTTGCTTTATTGTCTTATGCAAATGTCAGAAAAAAACTAACTACGATCGCAGGATGTAAAAGTGATAGCAACATCTTTTTTTAAAATGGAATGCCCTATATAGTATTAGCTCAAAATTCTGATTTCAAAAGTTTATTGACAGATTAAAAATAATTATCATTCGATTTCTGGATAATAGCCATATTGTTTAATGTGCGTGAAAGAAAGAGCTATACAATCGTGCTAGACTTTTCAAATTCTGTTGCGCATTTTTTGTCTGTTTTGTTTTTGTGTTATTAGGGTTTTTTTTTTCAATTAACTTAGGCCCTATAAATCTCAAGCTAGCCGTTCAAAATTAATATGTACTTAACCAAAGATTCCTGGTATGTACTGAATGTGATATGTTCAAAATAGATTGTTTATTATAACTATTTATTTTTTATAGATTTAAATAAACATCTCGCTTATTTTGAATGGAACGCTCTGTATTTTTCTTTTGCTTTCTTTCATTGACCTAACAAAGCACTTGCTTTTTAAGATATTTCACTGTATTTCAAAACTATGCCTAAAATAGCGACTCTTAAAATGTTTGAATATAGATTGCCTATTTAAGTATTGTGGTATTTAAATAAATATAAAACACCAACTCAAAACACATCCCAGAGTTAATTGAGAACAATAATTATTTACTTAAAGTATGCAATTGAATTTGTAATTGTAATTATAATATTTTATAAACTAGCAAGCAATTTATATTACAGTTCGTACCCACGAACTCTTTTTTGAGATGATGAATTGGAGTAATTGATTAAAAAGCTTCCAGAACTTTCATTCTCTTGATGTAGAAGCCACCTGATGTACTTTTTCTACATATCCCCACAAGAAAAACGTCTAATTTTGTCAAGTCGGAAAATCTGGCTGACCAACCTCTGCTTTATACAGCGATTATGAAATCGTTCATTTAAAAAAATTCTAGTTGTTAGGCCATGGTGCTGCAAATATATAGCAGTCCTAAGATTTCCTTCAAGAAAATGATGGCAAATAATTCGTACCAAAACATGTTTAAAAAAACTAATCGCAGGGGTCACAAAAATGAAAGTTGTGTGTATTTATCCACCGTGGTTGTGTAAAATCGCTTCATCCATTAAAACACCAAATTTTGTCCCGATTGATAAAACACATCACATTGAGAAGTCCTGCGGCGTTAAATCTTGCAATAATTGGTAAATATTAACAGGCAAACTAATAAAATAGCAATAGGAAATAGTAAACTCTGTAGGAAAGCTGACTAAGAATAGTAGCCACTGACAAGAGTGACTGTGACATTATTATTTTTCAAAGCAATCTTAATTTGAACATTTTAAGAACGCTATTCTTATCATAGTTTAGAAATAAAGTGAAATCTTCCAAAAAGTAAGGGCTTTGGGTATACGGCAATAGAGTGCCTTATGAAGTCAATGGAATACAGGATGTTCCATTTAAAATAATGAAGATGTCTATTTCTTTTGTGCAACTATAACAGTTACCCTGTATATATTTTGAAAATATCACATTGTGATATGATGATAGTACATACCAGGAACCTAATATAACCTAATATATAGAGCACCCAATAACTGTAACTAAAAACATTTTTAATGTTAAAAGAATTTTTTGCTTTACTCATAGCGTTTGCCCCTAGCTATATTTCCCGTATACCTTTTTGACGTAGCCTGTATAATGTTTGGTTTTGCTGGTACCTTAAAAATTAAGTACCTGGCGTATAGTAATTGGATAGTTTTTAGACGCATTGCATACATTCTGTAGCACTTATCCTATTTTGTTGTAATGTTTCTTAGGGTACCCAACTTGCCATCTAAACTAGTTGTAAGTTGAAGAACAACAGTCAACGACCCAGTATGAGAGACGGGAAACAGTCCCACTAAAGAAATTAAAATTATCAGGAAAACTGCAAATTAAACTGAGAGACTAACTGAATTGTATTTAGTTATGAAATATGAAATTTGTGTGTTCTTCACTCCGGGACTTTGTGTATGATGGTCAATTCCAACCATGCCCAGTGTCCATCGAAGACACTTTAATTGCACATGACACAAAATCGAGCAGCGCAAAGAAAGTGCAAAAAACTATCACGGCGTATTTTGTGCAAACACATTTACATGGAGCGCCATCTCATTTGATAAGGAATTAAGAAATGTACTTAAAGGAAATATTTAAGAAAATCAAACCTTAAAATACACCAAAAAAATGCTTTAATTAGCATTTATGAATTTTAACTACAAAAATACAAAACCTTGTAATAATGTAAAGGTAATATAAAGTTTTGAAAGCGTTTTTTTACCATGTATTATACTTTAACAATTCATTTTGCATCGTTAAAGCATACGGTGTGCTAATCTCAGTAACATTTAAAACCTCCAGACTTAGCACAAGGAGATCAAGACTTGGGCTACAAAATTTCTAACCAACAATAATTCTACCCTACTTATATATACATTGGGTGGTAAAATGTCTAATTATGAGTCGTTTGCAAGAGTGCAGCTTAAGTGGCGCTCAAAAATAACAGGCACTTATCTTGATGAATTCGTTTGGAGAGTTTTTAGTTTTCCAGTTAACTGACGCTCAGCGTGTTTTGAGGTTGTCCTGTAGATTGTTCTCCTCTTACTTAGGTGGTGTTTCGCAGTTTTCGAATTTTTATGAATTTGTTGAAATTCAAAAATTAACCCGTTAATATTTTCTTTTTGTTCTAGGAACCCCAAACAGAGCAAGAAAAGGTGAACGCGAAAATTCAAGAGGCGCGGTGTTCATGAGTCAAACCAGCACAGTAACCGAAGCCCCATCTGATGAAATTGATGATTTTGACGCAGAACTTCCCCGAGTTACGCAGTAAATAGAGCTATATATTGTGAAGTGAACATTTAGCTATATTAGTATATGTTTCCATCGGGGTTTTTAATTATACTTGGTGTCGTAAAATCTAAACAGATCTCAAGTAATTATCTTTGGTCCGAGGGAGATTCACGAACACAACAAATACCATTTTCTCTCTCTTTTCTCTCTTTTTCGACAACTTCCAGCTTATGCTATAACTAATTTTTTCCCAATAGAATAGGTGTCTATCTACAAGTTATCTTCAATCGTATCAATAATAGTTGAAATTTACAAAAAGGCAGTATAGTCCGTGCTACAAATTCTAGCACCACTTTCTGGTCCGCTGTAATCTGTACCAAGCCAAGCGGTACGTTCGGCGGTGTTGAAGGCAATTGCGCATGCGTCTAAGCTTCACGAGTCCGGTCATAAAGTCGATTTCTATATTTTGAATAGGGAAAAATTCATATTTCACATTTTCTGCATAGAGGGACCGCTTAGCGTATCAAAAGTGTAAAAAACTAGACAGCTCCTTTTTACAAAACTTCTGGAATCCTCCTGCGTCGCTTTTGCTGAGTCGAACTTGCTGACGTTTCGCCAATTATCCTGCCAATTATCTTCAGAGCTTGACTGAAACTGACTCGTATTTTACACTGTACCTGCTTACATATTGTTTGTGGGGGGCGGAGCTAAATGAGGGGCATAAACACCGTCTCGCATGACTGATTCCCGTATTGGTGACAGGCCTGAGACCTGAGTCGCGATTAAGATTATTAGGTTGTTTATAGATTTCTATAGACTCTGGGATTTTTGGTTGGTAGAAGAACTGATTACATGCAAGAATTTTAGTTTTATCGAATAAAATTTTATGTCCGGTTTTATGAGTATGTTCGGCAACAGCTGATGAGTTTATTTGTTTTGTTGATATTTTACGTCCGGTCTCTCCAATGTATTCTTTGCCGCATATGCATGGAATGCCGTAAACTCCTGGCATCTCAAATGGAATCTTGTCTTTAACGTACCGAAGATGTTGAGATATTTTTGGACAAGTGGTAAACCTGGTTTTGGCATTCAAAGCATCACTGACCAAATATCAAAAGTTCTTAAGAAGTATAACTTGACATTCAAAACATCACTGACCACATCCTTCATACACAAAATGCGCTTGAATGTGGTTCACACATTCACTAAATTTATTGCTTCAAGATCTATTTTTGCACGACACGATACACATTACAGCGGACTAGAAAGCGGAGTTGGAATTTGTGGCGCAGATTTCGCGCAACTCAAAACGGCCGACTCTCATGTATTATGTGTTCCTAAACGGTGATTACTGTCTAAGCATGTCGAAATGTTCCAGATTGACAGAAGCACACAAAAACGCTATCCGAGCCATCAGGAAAATCAAGTACTTCGTAGCCAGAAGGAAATTCCAGCAAGCCAGGAAACCTTACGATGTTAGAGATGTCATTGAACAATACAGCCAGGGCCACCTCAACATGATGGTTAGAATAAAGGTAATCCAAAAAGGCACTACAACCATAAAGATCCCAGGGAGCAGAGAGCATAAGTTGTCGTCAGTAGTCCAAAAAGTACGTCAAATTGACGTCAAAAAAAGAATGTCTTATTAACATCACAAAAATGACCTCAGAATGTCGTCATAAAAATTCTTCTTCTATTTAAAACCATTTTGTAGGAGAATATATCCAGAGAGTTTCCAAATAGTGTGTCAAATATATCTTGTTTACTGTTTGCTTTGAAGAAAAATGTTAAATATAAAAGGTATTAATGAGATAGTCGATGGAAGTTCCTGGAACTGTGGGGGGGGGGGTTAAAACGGTAGCGCTGGAAACGGACGGGTAGTATGGGGTTACGAGGCTAGGAGGTCCAGAATTCCACGAGATTTTATTATGTGTTTTCACGTAACCGCAGAACAGTATGTGAAGACCGCAACAAGTGGTACAGTGATTTATTCTATACTTGTCTTTAAGTTAGTTCGAATCGTTTATATGGGGTGAGTCAAAAAGAAAAATATTAATTTTCGTAAAAAAATTTACTTCCAATATTAGTTTTTTTAAAAGAAACGCTCATCATTTTTCAAAGGAACTTCCACAGGCTACTGTAATACTTTTTACAAAACTTCTGGATTCCTCCTGCGTCGGTTTTTGTTGAGTCAAAATTGCTGATGTTTCGCCAATCATCCTGTTAACTTCTTCAGAACTTGACTGAAACTGGCTCGTATTTTACTAGCTAAATGAGGGACATAAACACCGTCTCGGATTGTGCATTCCCAAATTGGGGACAGGTAGAGACCTGAATCGCGATTAAGATTGTTAAGTTGTTTATAGATTTCTATAGACTCTTAGATTTTTCGTTGGTAGAAGAATTGAGTACATGCAAGAATTTTTGTTTTATCGAATAAAATTTTATGTCCGGTTTCATGAGTGTGTTCGGCAACAGCTGATGAATTTATTTGTCTTAGTCGTAAGGCTCTTTCGTGGTCTTTGAGCCTAGTTGATATTTTTCGTCCGGTCTCTCCAATGTATTCTTTGCCGCATATGCATGGAATGCTGTAAACTCCTGGCATCTGAAATGGAATTTTGTCTTTGACGGACCGAAGATGTTGAGAGATTTTTGGACAAGTGGTAAATCGGGTTTTGACGTTATACTTCTTTAAAATTTTTGAGGTCAGTGATGTTTTGAATGTAAGGAAGGACCACAGTGGCAAGTGTAGGATTGCTTTCGGCCTCATTGTTATTGGAAAGTTGTGGTGAAGTGTATTTTTTGATGGAACGCTTCATGTCTTTAATTGTGGAAAAAAGGTGTTTTAATTCTGGGTACAATGACTCGGGCTGCATAGTTTTACGGCTCTATAAACAAGAGAGTTGATAACCGATGATTTTTGGGTCAGATGGTAATGTGATCATGCATTAAGGTATCGGTCTGTGTGCGTAGGTTTTCTATAAACACAATGACCCAATGTTAGGTCTGATTTTCTATTAATAAGAATATCTAAGAATGGAAGGTTATTATTAGTCTCCAACTCAATGGTAAAACGTATATTAGGATGTATAGAGTTTAAATGTCTAAGAAAATCTACTAGGGTTTCTTGAGCATGAGGTCAAATAACAAAAGAATCATCGACGTAGCGTTCTCATAATTTTGGTTTTAGATGAAAGGTGTCGAGAGCTTTCTTCTCAAAGGCTCCCATAAAATATTCGCGATGGCTGGTGATGGTGGAGAAGCCTTAGCTGTTCCCGACGTTTGTTCAAAAATTTGACCGTTATAAGAAAAATATGTTCCCGATAAGCATTTTTCAAAATAAATAAGAACTAAATCTTCAAATGTGACAATTGTCATGTAAAAAAATATATAATTTCGTAAAAATCTGAATTTTTAATTCTTAGTTATTTTGATAAATGGATTTTCATCAAGTAAAAGCCACCTCAGTTCAAGCATTTTTCAATTAAGATGAGAAGGTTTGGTTCCAGATTCTCGGATTTTAATATATCTGAAATGATGTCTAGAGTTTCAGGAATAGGAATTTTGGTAAAGAGGGATTCTACGTCGAAACTAACTAGAATATCTTGTGTATCTAATATAATGCTTTTTAATTGTTCAATGAAGTGAAAGGAATTAAGTACGAAACTGTCAGTTTTCCCTGTAAGGGGTTTTAATGAAACGTCGGCAATTTCGATTCAGCAAAAGCCGACGCAGGAGGAATCCAGAAATTTTGTAAAAAGTGGAAAGGCTCATAGTTGTCCATTAACTATAATTCTAAATTTTACGCAACCATAAAAGACGTTTTGCGTAATTTAATTTAATTCACTTTACTTACTTTAATTTACTTTCGATTTTCCCACTCCAAAAAGAAAAAACCAATTTATGTAATACCTAAAATCTGACATTAAGTTGACTTTAAAAAGATGTCACTTAAATGACAAAAAATCATCTGAGCTATCAGTAGCTCAAATTCACGTCCTACCGACGTCATATATAACCTCATTTTCTTCATTTGGTAACTAGTTAATGACGTCACTTTGCCGACCTTCTGCTACCTGGGATAACGTATACGCAAAAAAAATAGTTCTTATTGTTCTTTCCAAATCTTCCAATCTAATAACTATGTCGTCAAATGCTGCATGATTTGGAGCGATGAATTGTTTTTGTATTGCTAATAACACCGTACAAATTCAGGAACTACAGAGAAGATTGGATCAAACGCTTGGAAAACCAGGAAGTTACTTAGCAGGCATCGATAGAGTGGGCAACGTTAGACCCATGACCGTAGGGGCGCGTCTGTACAGGGTCGAACAACACGTACGTAACTATCGCAATTATTATTTTAACGTATTATTATTATTATTATTATTATTATCGAGCCGGTTTTTATAGGTATGCACGATAAATCAAAAACTCGACTCATTGACGGACCTCGTCATGAGTGTTATACAACAACGAACCAACGCAGCATCTGAAAATAACGTTTAAATAAGCACATTTAATAATTGTAACATGATTTGGGCTTCAAATTTCAGACTCTGAAATGTGCATATTCATTTTCGAATATTTTCGAAACATTTACGGAAACTTTTGTTGAAGTATACATTACACATATCGCTAACGGCATAACATGTAAGAGATGCAATAACTGACGAGAAAGTTCGAGGTGTGTCAACAAACTATTGCCGTAAAATTAATCGAAATAGCGCTTCCTTGACAAAGTAATGGTAATGGTAATGTATTTATGGTTCAGCTTGCCCTGCGGTTGTTGTTTTGGTAGTGAAATTGCGCTGTGGTCTAATTACTTATTTCTTAATATTGGTACTAATAGCTTTAGGTTGAGATTTGGAGTTTTCGAAGAAAAAATATTTCCTGGATCAACATAAATAACCTAATTTTTATTTAATTTAGTTACCTAGTGTTTAATGATTGACAATATAATTTGTCGTCAGAAAGATTTTCAAACGCAAGAAAAAATTAAGCAATGCGAGAGGAACAAAAATAAGAGCAATAAATAGTTCTGTATACAAACAAAATAGAAATTTTAACATTCTACTAGATAGAAACGTTGATTTGAAAAAAAAAAAGGAAAATTTTTACAAAAACAATATGAGAAAGGTTTGTCAATGAAATAAGAAAGGATAAGTAAAATATGTTTACCGAAAATACAAGGGGTGATAGTGTTCCCCATATAAATAAATATACCAATTCCAAACTAAAACATTCTGATTTAATACATCGAAGCAGATAATAAATTTTAAGACTATGTCAAAATTATTTAAATGTTTTCAACGCTTTCAGGTTATTTTTGGAAATGTCTTAATTTATTCTAGATTCATAACCGAGTAGAGAATAAAAAGTATTCATTAGTTTATAATTTTCGCCGAATTAGAATAAACGGTAGCACAATATGCCTATACAATTCCGTTATAGGAATTCCAACAATTTTGTTATACTCATATTTCAATTTTTAAGGTTAACCCGCACCTAAAAACTCTGTTTAAATGATAAAATTTTAGTCAGTCGATATGCCTCGAAACGACTTGTCCTGTAATATCGATAGTCTGTACTGTAGTAAAATGTAAATAATATTGTCATGGTACAACGGGGCACATAAAAATGTATTATATCTAAACTATTATAAAGCAAGTTTCTTCACTATAACAGTGCTGTATGTGAATTGTGAAAGCTATGAAGCAATGACTTTGCGAAGGTAATTCAATAATTACGACACATACAGGGCTTTTGAAACAGTAGAAAACTGATTTCGGTGTGAAATCGAGCCAAAAAAGTCTGTTTAATTACGGAAATACTTCTGTAATGTGATATGTGTAATGACTTTTAGAAAAAATTATTTACAGTGCATTCAGTATAAGGGCAGGCATGGGGATATCGAAAACCATAGGAGATACAGGGTCGGTTAAATTAGGAAAGTTTTTAAAAAAATTATGAGAAACTTAAACGTAAACGTAAATCGTCAGAAATTGAAAAAAATATAAAAAGTTGGGTTTTCTATTTTTGTCTATAAAGCCCAAAATACACCAAACATGATTTTGGGTTTAGTACATTACTAGAACACTTAAGGAAAAATATGACAAAGGAAAACGAAATTTTTTCATTTGTTTTCGGGATGTACCACAGATTTTTAATTTTTCTCATCGGCGCTGTATTGAATATTTTCACAATAAGATATGGCTCAACATACGACATATTTTTTTGAATTTACTATTTACATTGAAATCACTTGGAATTACATACTTATTACATTGTAATAATTACAATATAATTCAATAATTAATACATATTCAAACAACATGTTGTCAAATCTATGAGGTATGATGGTTGAACTGCTACTAAAACTAGATGACATAGTTCTTCCTCTCTTCGAAAATTATGTTGGTACTTATAGTTCTTGATGCTGTCATCATCTAGATAAAAGTTTAGAGGCGATCATACAGGCCAAAAAACTAATCATTGTGAACCTATCCATTTGTTAGTTATTCTCGAACTATTCTCGAGTTTGAGCAGAAATCCTATCTTATTGAAACCAAATATTGTTGATCCCCGCTGGCAGAAAGTTGGTATTATACGTCTACAGTTATTTTGAACAATGAGCAATACCCCAAACATTGACAACAGTCTTCCAAAGATTTTTTTATTTGACCGTCATCTTTCATGGAAGGTATTTAAATACAATTGCTCAGCCTATCGAGTTACTATGATACCAAACAAAACATTTTGATGTGTCGAACTTATTCTCAAGAGAAAATTTTCTTTCCATTTATTAAATTAAATGACCACTTAACAAACTTGTGAATTATAAGTGAAGATAACGAAGGCATTTCCGTTTCCAAAGCCCACTATATTTATAGCTTATGTATCCTGAATATCTGTCATCGTCTACTATAAAAAAAACGAATTGTCCTTTGTGGCAGTAAGGATGTGATATATGATTTAAAAGCATTTTTATGCCCTATCTAATAATATCTAATAAATATTCAATATGGCGAGCAATATTTCATAGTTTCTCAAATTCTTTAAAACTTTTTTCCTATATTCCCATGATATCCTTTCCTTTTATAAGACACACTATAATATATATTTTTAAGCAAACTATTAAGAAATAATATTGTATGTCAATATGGAAATGTCTGTTTAAGAGAACATTGTATTGAGAAGGGCTTGTTTCATGGAATTTGCTTGCAAGTTTCTTCAACCGTCATGCTGCGTTAGCTTAAAAAATATTCCATTTGGGTGGGCTCTATTTCATTTGCTTCGTATTCTTTCACATACCCTGTATATAGTTAAAATCGATACTGAAAATACATATATAGAAAATATATCAAGGATCGGTTAATTATATTGTTTACGTTAATACCTTCAAATGCTTCATTGATTGAAACATATCTTAAGGAACTTAAAAATTCTTTGGAAATAGTAACTAAGAATTTTGACAATCCAAATTTGAATGTCTCTGAATAAACCAAAGACATTCATAGTATTACTATAAGGTAAATTTAAAATTTAAAACGAGAATATAATAATCCGTCTCTTTACTTACTTCGTTATTGGATGATTTCAGTGTATAGGAAAATTTTCATGTGCAAGTTGTCAAAGGCGCTCTTTAATATCAGATGTCAAATAAAAGTAAATCCAATTGTTACCGACTTTAAAAGTAGCGCTACCTGCATTGTGCTATTTATATTCCTAAATACGCAAATTACATGTCAATTTATTTTTACTTTGTATATAGGGTGGTTCAACTAAAGTTACAATTATGCACTGTCTGTTTGAATCATCCTATATAAATGGGTAATAATAAGTTAAAACTTTCCACTTATTGTCTGTAATAACATTAGTGGTGTGCCTATATATCTGTGATTTTGTCTATTTACCTAACGTTTATAAAGTGCTATGGATCCGAATTTATTACCTGTACCACATACATTTACCAGAACCAAATTTACCAAGCAACTTAGAAATAAACTTTTTTTGTGTTTAAGAAAATGCATGAAAACATTTATATGCGGAATTTTTAATTTCGCATTTACTTCGTGGATTTGTTTGTGTAAAATTAGGTCGTGCTGAAATTGTCGTCGAAGATTCTGCTAAAGTGTGCAATTCCAATTTGTGGAATAAGCTCAATGTAAGTGGTCGGATTGCATCTAGTCATATCAAGTGTATATGGTGTCTTAGCCTAAACTTCAAGCAACTATTACTGCGAAAAAGTTTTAAAGAAAGACACGAGGGCGGTTGATAACAAGTAACAAGTAATTTAAATTATCGTAGACACTTATGTCTTTGAAAAGTGTTTTATTCGATACAAAGCCGCCTTAAGAAAAGTCATATTAAGTGTTCCATTAGTTTTATTAGAAATTTTTTAGAGTAAGCTTTTAATCCTACGTGCCAATATTTTTGTTATATTTCATCCGATGCGGATGAACAAAATTTTCATATTCAAAAAACTGGCTTTATTTATAGCTCTTGCAGTTGTTATAGTTTTAATATGGACATGGTATTGGTTATTTTTTTATCCTGATTAGTACCTAAAAGCTCATTGAAGAATGAATTGGACAACAGAGCTGTGTTAATACAAAATATGAAGTCAATTCACGAAATTTAATATCTTCCTGGTTAATAAAAATTGGTCAATATGGAAACGAGATTCTGTTGAATGGACAAAAAAATCAATAACTTTGATAATGAAAAAGAATCGTATCATTAGAGCCTGAGAATGAACCGATTTTTAAGAAGATAAATAGGCAATATGTAAAAGCACAAAAATGATGCAAACATAATAATTAATTATTTTTTTTTTAATATATTTTTTATTTCTTTAATTTAGGTTACACAATTTTCAAAATAAATAGGTTAAAATTGGTACAATTATTCCATACGAAAAATAAAATATTTCAAGTTTCGAGTACTACAGTAGAACCTCGATTATCCGGGTCGGCCGGGACCGAGCTTTCGCCGGATAATCGAAAACACGTATAATCCAAAGACCTTTTTTTATTTTATTTAGATAAATACATGTGTCAAACAAAGGGAACAAACATACATGTAACAAAAAATAAAATATAGTGTATACAAAATGTATACAATAAATTATGTTTGCAAAAATCACTTCAAAAAATCACTGATTTTTGTTTGTTTTTGGGCTTCGTAACTTCTATACATTATAATTTCTTTCATTTTTCTAAGCTGAAGTACATGAATGTCATCAATTGCAAGGTGTTCTTCAAAATATTGCAGAAGTACGTTTACTGAGTCCCTTGCTTCTTGATGACTTGATTTCGCAATAATTACTCTCATCATTATCACTACTTTTTCAGAACTTTCTTCAGAGGTCTTGTAAATTATGTTATCGTCATTAATGATCTGATACCCTGCTTCTTTGTGATCACATTCTATCCAGTCCTGTATTTCTTTATTGTCTATTTCTTCCAAACCATTTATTTGCAAGGCTATAGATGCTATGTTTTCGATCGATAGCTCACCTTCATTTAACTGATTATTATCTCCAATAACGTCTTCATCCTCTGTATCTTCTATTAAAATCATTATTTTATAAAATGGTTCATTCCAAGCACGACCTATAGCATATATTGCCCCTTTCAAATTTAGGAGCGTTCAAAATTCCACAATGTCACGTTCTTCCATAAGTTGAAGCATAAGATCTTTTCTATAAAGCTTTTCATTGTCTCTGCAACCCCTTGGTTCATTGGCTGGGCAATACATGTTACATTCATCAGAAAATATGCTACGAATATGTTTCCATCTTCTGACTTAAGTTGCTCTACATTAGGATGCTATGGCGTATTGTCCAGTAACAGTACAGCCTTTGGTGGAAGATTATTTTCTTTTTGATAAGCTCGAACTTGCGTTATAAATTTTTAAAAAACCACTGTTTAAAAATTGCTCTATCCATCCACGCTGTGTTTTTACATTTTCAAAAACCCTTGGGTTTTTGGATTTTCCAATAACACGAAAACTAAGCTTATGCGTTGCTGAGGCATTGGCATAGCACAAAACTGTTAAACGGTCTTTGCTTGCTTTGAAACCTAAAAAAAGTCCAGTTTCGTCCCCATTATACACTTGCTCAGATTTTAGGTCGTGCTCTGTCAAAAGATTTTCAAAAGCATAGCAAAATTCTACCATAGCAATGTCATCAGCACTTAATTTCTCCCCTTGAACAGCCAATTCTCGTATTTCATGGCGTTTTTTAAATCTGTAAAGCCAACCAGAAGATGCCGAGAAGTTGCCTTTAATTTTTTTAATTTTTAATTGCTGGTGAAACTTTTCAGCTTGTCTAGCACACATATCGGAACCCCTTCCGATCTCTTCTGCAAGAACCACCTGCTCATAGCATCATCAAGTTGTCGAAAAGTAGTAGTGATTTTCGATCAGAAATAGCTTTAGCTACAAAGCTCTGTAATTTGGCTTTTCTCTTTAAAATGTCACGAACTGTTTGTTTTCCAATGTTATACTTTTTAGTCAACACATAAACACTTATGGTATTTCCAAATTGCCTTAAAATTTGCATTTATAGCCCAATATTTAAAACATTGCGTTTACGCCTAGCACCGGTACGCTCCATTTTGTGCCTCTGTTTACGTTTAACTAACTAACCCAAACTAACTAGCCGGTCGATCAGCACTCGGCAAATATAATACGTTAAAACATGGATTCCCCTACACAAATTTAGGGATTCTCCGAAAACAACGACACAGTGCATGCAGCGGATAGAGCGCGCACGGATAATCGGGGTTCTACTGCATAGTATCTTTCAACATCTGCAAAATCATAATTCACTGCCAATTTTTTTCTAGAACATCCCTGGGTTTTAATAGTCTAATTATAAGATGCATCGCTTAAACGCCGTTTTTTATAAAAATTTCCCCATTTCCCAATATACCAAAAATCCATCTGGTGGTTGGTTACCAAATCAAAAACGTTTTATGACTTCAAATATTGCGGTTTTCGTATGTAGCAAGTGTCATATTTCAGCTATTTGAAAGTGGAAAAATATTTTACGCTGTGGAACACATTTTCGAAAGTCCAAACTTCTATTAGAACGGGATGTAAATGCAATCAGGAAAATCACTTACATCGAGGTTAGTTCGGCATATTTCGACTTCTGTAATAAAACTTCATATCACTTGCAATTAATTAATATAATTAAGGACCCTGTAGGGAATTCAAAATTCCCGTAATTTAGCTCTATCTTTAGGAAGCTTCTAAATCATTCTTGCGATATATTTTCATAAAAGTAATAACCTTTAGGGCGACGTAAAGTCCCTATATATTTAAGAGTAACTTTTGAACTTGTGATTTGTAGTCAGTAGTTTATCATTCTAAATTTTAGATTAATTTCCTTATAGAAATATAATCGTTTCCTATTGGAAATTTTTGGTACTTTAAGGTATCAACGATAACCTACCGTAGATGCCTCTTTTAGAGTAAATTACTCATATATTATTAGGGGTAGATTGTCTAACGAAAAACAAAGCAAATATCGAATTCGAACTGGCAGGCCTTACGGATGTACGAGTATTTGTAACTCTATGTTCATTTCTAAAGACAATCAAATCTGAGGCAACGATAAAATTGAAGAGTAAGAGTAAGAGTAATGGAAAGGGTAATTTATAGGCCCGTAGGTACAACTAGTGCAGTATAGCAACATAGCGGTAACCGTTGCTTTGAGGAAATACTCACACTAGCTCAATCATTGAGAAATATTAATAAGCTGGACTGAATCTATTGGGTTTGATGAAATTGCACAAATGCAATCAGAGTGCCTAAGAGATATTAACAATATTAGAATTGTGCCGATTTATTCTCAGGGTTGTCTTTAGAACTCAAGTGTGGTGCGCTCCGGATTGCTAGTGTTCATGACGCCTTGTCAACGATAGTTTTTGCTCTTGTTTGTATTAAAGCAACCAACAGTATCAAATTATAAAATACCTGTACTTATATTTTGATCCCGGACCATTTATGTAGGAAAATTACAGGATTTTGATTTGAATGGATTCAACGGAAATAGTAAACAACAATTTCAATTGGAAAGTCACAGATATCTCATTGTCCTGCCATTTTTTTACAGTTCCATATCAAAAGTTATTATAGATTCTTATTTTGTGATAGCACATGTTTACTATTATAAACACAGTTGAGACTTTTATCGGTGTTTTCGATTTTTTAAAGATTCTATTGTAAATAATACTGTTAAAAAGGTTGTTCAGTGTGGAACGGTTTTTCGAATTTTAGCTGAGATGTGATGTCATATTTAGAACCTAGGTTGATCTAATACTCGTATCTTTAATGAACCTTAAGGAATATATAGTATTATAGAATTTCTTTAATGGATGCTTAATTGTCAACTACAATTATAAATAAAATTTCACTTCAAACAAATGTCATGTGTTTCGTTTTTTTTTCTATAAAACAAAGGAAGGAACCTTAATAGAAAAACAAGAAAGGCTCACCAGAATACGCCGAACTAAATAAGCAAATTAGAAAAAATATCAGAGAACACAAAAGAAAAGTAAAAAAAAACAAAGGTATGAAATGTCTGAAGCCGAAAATAGGGACACACCAAATTCTGTCACTAAAGGATAAAAACAGATAGCGGAATTCTACACAGAATTAGATAAAACAAAAGAACAAGAGGTCATAAAACATAAAAGTAGCCCCAAGAGTAATAAAAAATATGGGATCACAAGTGATGCCAGTTGTCTCCTTCAGGGAAAAATACCCAGTTCATGGAATAAGTCTAAAGTAATTTTTTTACACAAGATGGGAGATGCACAAAAATTAGAAAACTACAGACCAATGCAATTGCTATCACACCAATATAAGATGCTTGTCTGGATCATTATTAGTAGGCTAACCAAGAAACTAGATGAATACCAACCATACGAACAAGCTGGTTTCAGGAAGGGCTATTCAACATCAGACCACATATTTATTAACCATGAGCAAGTGATAGAAAAATACAACAAGTACAAATTTTAGGATTGCAGGATTGGCAGTCGCTACATCAGCCTAATGCAAAGTACTATTTCAACCAAAACGAATACACAAAACCAGTAAATATAGAAAGAGGTGTTAAACAAAGCTACAGTCTGTCATTTAAACTTTTCACCTTGGTCCTAGAAGATATATTCAAAAAACTGGACTTGTCGAACAATAACGTAAGCGAATTGCAAGAAATGCTAACAGAGTTGCACACCGAGTGCAGCAAGGTGGGTTTGAACAGGAACCTTAGAAAAAGCAAGGAAATATACACAGAAGAAAATGTAACAACGATAGACAACAAGAAAATAGAAAGAGTCACTGAATATATATACCTCAAAACATCGTTCTTAATAGAGATACCCAAACGGGAGAAATAAAAAGAAGACGAACACTAGCTTAGGCAGCCTTTGGAAAACTAAACTATATACTGAAGAACCAACAAATTGCCAATACTTACATGCCCAGCACAAACATGAACCATTACAAAAAAAAACATTCTAAGAGTCACGGAACATACAATGGAAAAGGCAATGCTGGGAATATCTGTTAAAGAGTAGAAGGCAAATGCATGGATAAGACAAAGAACAAGGGTAACCGACGTGGTGTACAAAACCATAAGACTGAAATGGGAATACGCAGGATATTTTGCCAGGCGACAAAGTAATTAGCAAATTTCAAAAATCAGCCCAGAAAGACCAATAATTAGATGAACGGATGATTTAAGACTAATCGCCGGCCGAAAAAGGATACAAAGAGCCTATAGCAGAAGAAAATGGAATAAGGAACTTCAAGAGGTGTATGTTCAAAGGTGGACTTCTTCAATTATGGTTAAGGCTTAACTGATGCATCTCTGTTTGGATTTGATTTGAATTAACGGATTGTAATATAAAATCACATATGTATAAAATTATTACTTTTATTTTATTAACAACAAAAACATTTTAGAGTACACGGTACTTTAAATTCTTATCCAAGGACTAGATTAGACGAAGAAAAACGTTACATTACGATTACGATTTTAGCACCACGTTTGCCACCCTGTCACGAGTATTGTCTTATTTCTCACAAAGTAATATCTTTGGTTAAATCGTAAAATATGCATTCGAAAAAATGACGTTGTTAAATAGTAGGAGAGCAAAGGAGAAACTATGCATTTCACTAGGTAGCTGAAGAACTGCTAGGCAATTCACACGATATCACTGACGCATTGTCGATAGTCTCGATGGGAAGTTCATTGGCGGGATTTCTATCGTTCTCTTGCAAATCCCTCACGTTACCCGGCAGGTAATCCTTCCAAGATCTGAACAAATATCTCGTAAATTTCCTCAATTGCCGGAACTTGCAATAGGTGGCGCCTTCAGCCGACTCGAGCTGCTGCGTCTGTATCAGAAATCCTTTCTCCTTGAAAGTTTTCTCTAGCTTTTCCCTTTGGAGCGACTTTCTGGATTTTCTCTTTTTGTTCTTGGCGTTACTTGAGTCGGTATTAATCACCAAACTTGACCCGGGCAATTCTGGTGTTAGAAGAAAATCTGAAGGAACGGCAATTTCGGCGGGTGGCATCGGATAAATTTTCTCCCCGCTAGCTTGCAAAAAGGCACCCGTACTGGAGCCCTGACCGTTGCTCACCTGCTGCTGCAGCGTCTCTCGCGGAAAAAATTCGTAACCCCTCATGCTCTTGTCCCCAGTGCCGCTGTAGTAGCGAAAATTACCGCCAGAGTCCACAGAGAGCATTTTTTTCTCTTGCAGGCTGGGTTTAGCTCCACCGGTGAATTTAAATTTGCAAATGCTCACTTCCGTCGCCGGATTGCTGTTGTTTTCGGGGGGTATGGGCGGGATAAAGATGGCCGAACGTTTCCGTTTGGCGGGTCTGCGATCGTTGCACGACGCACTTGAGTTCCTTTTGATTTTCACGTCTTGCGGAGAAGTATCAGTGTCGACTGTCTTTGCTATATTCGGTACTATTTTCTTTACGTCACTATGGTCCGCCTTACTCTCGAAGGGAGGCGGTCTCGGACTGTGGCTAGGTAAAGTATAATTCATATTGTTGGCGAGTCTTTGATACATCAACAATTGCTGCTGTAAAGCCATCGGATGTAAGAATACGCCCGCGTTGGGCCAGTATACGTAGCCTCCCGGTCCAGTCATCCCATCTGGAGGAGTCTCTGGGCTTGAAGTAGACAAACTCTCGGGGGTCATTGACGTCAGCGTTTTCGCGCTGATCGAAGGCGACGGCGGTTCGTGTGGAAATTCGACATCGTCATCAGACTGTGGTTCAGACTTAATTTTCGAAGTGTAAGTGTTGTCTTTCTTCTTGAGCAAGCGAATTTTGAGTTGATTTAGATCTCGTATACATAAGTTGAGTGGTTCATTTTGATCTGCTTTGGATTTAACCTGAAACCAAAACACTGGATAACAAACAACGAAAAGGCAGACTGGTTCACTAGTATTATATAGACATTGGCATAGCCTCTTGGTGGACATTAATTTTTCATCCGATCTACTAGTATTTTGTTAACTAGTGGTAAAAATGGAGAAAAATAGTAATATTTTATCGATAATTATTAACTAATAAAGTAAAGCGACTAACACCATTAATTTTCACAATATTATATCTATACATATAAACAGGTAGAAAGAGGTTCTTAATTACCAGTGTAGGGTTATAAATTTAAATTTAACAACAGAGACGCAACCATTAAAAATACCAACTAATAATTATTAATTCTTAACCTCCAAAATTACACAGGAGGTGCCAATTAGGCCTGTAGTTTCAATGTTACAATAGCATGTTGCCTTTAAACCTAGATTTGTTATCAAAAATTCAAAATCAAAGTTAAAGATATTAAAATTTCTAAGGCAATTCTATTTTCTTTTGATGCCCAACATCTATTTCCTAGCAAATCATCTCTATCGTAAAACAAGACTATGAGATAGTTTAATACTTGTTTAGACCAAAATTATTTTAAATTTAATGGTCGATTTTGTATTTTTAAAGAATTATTACCAACTAAGGACATCCACTTAGTCCACTTCTTGCAGAAATTTTCATGGACAATGTAGAAAATATCATATACCAACACCCTCTGACCAAAAAATTTCTTTGGGGGTAGAGATGTTTTTTCTTGTTTCACTGGAACGGAAAGACAACTGCAGTCCTCTTTGAATATAACTAGATAAATTTTTAAATTTTTTGGACTTAACTATAAGAAAATCACTCTCGCACACACAAAATGGCGGCTGCCTTCTATTCTTTTGTATTCAGACTACTTAATATACCACTTTCCACAGAAAATTATGAAAAAGAATTCACTATTATAAAAAAAAATAGCATTTAACAATGGTTACGATCCCTCTTTAATGAATAAGATTATAACTAAAAAACAGTTTCCAATAACTCTGAACCTCATCTATTCCATATTAAACACCGAACCCAAAATTGATAACACAACAAAATATATACGAGAACCTACCAAGAAAATTTCGAAACATCTATCTAAATTTGGTCTTAAGACAGCTTTTAACACTGAAAACCCCAAAACAAATATTTAAAAAAACAATAATACTAAATTACGAAAAACTCGACTAAATTTGTTGGAAGGTATTAAGATATTCGAATTTATTACTTATTGACCAATTGGATTCAAATTCAATTCTCCATTGTTAAATTCAAATTTTTAACCCTACACATGTAATTAAGAATATATTATTATCTGTTTATATATATATATATATATATATATATATATATATATATATATATATATATATATATATATATATATATATATATATATATATATATATATATATATATATATATATATATACATATATATATACATATATATATATTCTCACGTATTGATTCACGGATGGAAAAATGTGATGACACTATATTCCGGGATATCATCCGTTCGCTCGTTGAACTCCGACTGGAATCCTGCATCCGACTGGAATCCTGCAAATCTTGCATCCGACTGGAATCCTGCAGACGTTTCGCCAAAATCTCACTTGGCATCTTCAATGCTCGCGCTCCGAAAACACCAGTGTTCGAAGTGTTTTCGGAGCGCGAGCATTGAAGATGCCAAGTGAGATTTTGGCGAAACGTCTGCAGGATTCCAGTCGGATGCAAGATTTGCAGGATTCCAGTCGGATGCAGGATTCCAGTCGGAGTTCAACGAGCGAACGGATGATATCCCGGAATATAGTGTCATCATATATATATATATATATATATATATATATATATATATATATATATATATATATATATATATATATATATATATATATATATATATGTGGATGTCGGAATATTGTCATATTTTGTATTTGATTGACACCTGTCATAAACTGATAAATAACTGTGAAAATCTGGACATTTTTTATTCGAATTTAATTGGGTTTAATGGATTTTCATCAAGTAAAAGCCATCTCAGTTGAATTAAAGCAATTAAATTAAATGTATAATTATATAATTGTAGAAGAGCTGGTACTGGTCAATGTAGTTAGTTAGTAGAACTGCGAGTGCAGCAACTGACAAGAAACTGTGTGCCCTAATACTCTTGGATTATTCGAAAGCATTCGATACTGTGAATCAGATATTATTGAATTCCAAGCTAAATTTCTTTGGTTTTATCTTTCAAATCGATATCAAAAAATATACTCCGAGGACAAATGATCCAAGGAAATACAAATTTGCTCTGGGGTACAGCAGGAAACAATTGTGTGTCCGATGTTGTTTTTGATTTACACTTCCGATATTTCAAAATCTTTAAATTTTTGCAAGATTCAGGTATATGCGGACGATATTGTATTATTATTATTTTGATTTTGTTAATACCGCTGATGCTGAGATTTTTATAAACCATGATCTTACCATGATGAACTGTCACGTGTCCGTAGTTTAATGCTAAGTCCATTAAAATCTCATTTAATGATATTGGGAAATTGAAATAAAATCAGGCTCCTAAAAGAAAATATTAATATAATGTTGGATATTACTAAACTTTCAAGGAACTTGGGAATAATCATAGATAAGAGGCATATTTAAAAAAATTAAATGAAGGAAACAATTATGCGAGTCTCTCACATTTCAACTATTGTGATGTGATCTGTGGGTTTTTTATGGATGGTAAGTCTAGACGCCGTATTCAGAGGTTGCAGAATGCTTGTATACCTTTCGCTTAAATGGAACAAAGAGGCGCTCTTCATTTTAACATTTCTGTCATTAAAATAAAATAATCTCAATTTGCCAAGAGAGCAACTTGTTACTAGAAGTAATCCAGTAAACCCAAGGGTACAGAAACAAATTAACGATGTCACATCATCAGAGACATTTAAATCAAATGTACCAAGATCATCTTCTAGAAATACAATTTTCCTAAAATGTGTTGCTGCTTGAGTGGAGTTTGTTCTACTTTCTTTTCCGATTTTACAGGTAGTTCCATGTGTATTTCAATGAATAGTGTGCAATTTATTAAATACTTTAAGAGTTCTATATGGTGGTACAGTTAACTGTTGTTTCTTTTTTATATTGAAGTATTTATTATTATTATTATTAAATTAAACTAACAATGGGCTAGATGGGCGTTATTGGAACATAAATTTTAAACCAACCTTTAAGGTATTTTTGAGGACCATAAAGATACACATTTCAAACTTTCATATTATTCAGCTACTTTTTTATGAGAAATTTTATAGCGTAACTCATATTTAGAAATGTTGACAATTTTGGAAAATACAGAAAGGTCCAAAGTAAATGCGCTTTTGGTATTTGATATCAAACGCACTCTCGAGTTGCGGGCTGACACTCTCAAAAATGTATTTATCCTGAAAATTGAAGAAATATTCAAAAATGCGAGATGTGTCATTAAATTTCTTATTAAAAAAAGTAGACCAATAGCACCTAAGTTAGAAATGATTATCTTCAATTCAATTCAATTGAATTCAAACTGTCCTCATTTGCAATTTTGGGAATATGTCACACAGTAAATAAACACACTTGGTGGCGATATCCAGCATAGCAACCACTCTTGACATCACACATTATTAGTAATATCATTTAATAAAATAAATATGAAGAATATATTTTTTTAGATTATCTTAAAAGACTTGGCAGATGGACATGATTTAACGGTAGCAGGGTTATCATTATGCACTTTAATAGCATTTTAAGTGAAAACTGTATCATGTTCAGTGTATCATTTTATCAATTTGGCAAATTTGGCAATAAGAAGGTTCTTCAGACTTTTAAATTTTATAAACGTGTTTGTGCTGGGTAAGCCATGTCTTTCAGAGAAATAGTCCGAAATCATATTTGCAGAGGTTATAACAATAACATAATTAAGAATTTCTAATTCTTTATTTTTTAAAGCAAGACACCCACCCAGTAAATATTGTCTTCATACCCCTATTTAATCTAACCTCCGTCGTGGCAATGCCCTTGAACATATACATCTTCATTTTGGGCTATATTAAATTTAGTCATCGCGGACACTCCAGAGCAAAAAAGAAGTAATTTGGTATTACTACTATTAGGAAACAGGCCGTAAACTGAAGTTCCTAAATTGCAATTAAAAAAACAATTAAACCCCAAAAAGCACAATAAAATGTTTTCCAAAGCCCTAAAGACCAAAGAAAAGGTAATTGCGAAAAATTGGTTGCACTACAGTATGGACACATGCCACATTGAACAAGTTCAGCACCTATAGTTTGTATTCATTTTCTGACTCACTGACTGCTGCAGTCGCAAAAACACGATATTTCTGTGGCAGGAGTTTTAATTGTTTCAGAAATTTGTAAAATTGGTATTTTTGGTATGTACAACGACTATACGAGGGCTGTCTTTTATATTTCGGGATTTTCTTAAACTAGTCCTGTCATCTGGCGACTAATGTTTTTATAGGGAAGTTTGACATTTTGAGGTTAGATTTAATCAGTTAGGTTTTGGCGAAAGAGTGTTGTTTGTGTTTTTTGTGATAAATTAAAAAAATTGTAGCTGTTAAAAATGGAACTTAATCATGCAATAATTTTCTACAAATTTAGACGTGGACTAACTCAACAACAATGCACCGATGAATTTAATTCGACTTTTGGAGTTAAAGCATCATCTAGGACTACTATTTATCGCTGGTTTTCGGACTTCAGTCAAGGTCGTAGTTTTCTTAAGGATGAATTTCGTGAAGGTCGTCCAAGATTGGTGGTTGTCCAAGGAAACATTGATGCAGAGCGAAAACTGATTTTGCAGGATCGTCATGAGATTGGGGATTAGTAGGACCAACATACATACAATTTTGCATGAACATTTGGGAGCTAAAAAAATTTGTTGGCGTTGGATTCCACAAATTTCACATCAGCTAAAGAAAGGCTCATGTTAATGATAAAAAATACTATCGCGGTGCTTCCAAAGACGTCTATGATATCGTGACAGGTAATTAATCATGGATCTATGCATATGAACCTGAAAGTAAGCAGCAGTTGACTGTGTGGGTCCTTCAGAATGAGACAAAGCCCACAAAAGTTGTTCTTGCGCGAAGCACCTCGAAACAAATGGTAGCCTTGGTAGTTTTTTTTCAGGAAAATTGGCCACGTTGCCAATGTAGGTTTGGTTAGTCAATTTTGAATGGTACTCAACCATTTGTTTGCCGAAAGCCTTCGAACAAATTAGAAAAACCAACCGCCGCAGACGAATCACTCTCCACGACGACAATGCTCTCACCGATCAGTGCAAACAAAGAACTTTTTGAGCATCAAAAATTAATAAATTACGTGGGCAACGATTTTTGACACCAGAAGAAGCGATCGATGCATGTTTTGGAGGCGCCCGGATCGATGTGGGAAAAGTACTTTGATGATTGGTTTTGTCAAATGCAAAAGTGTACTAATAATCCGGGTGAATATTTTGAGAAACAATGAAATCATATTTGTTGGTAGCTTATAGTTTTTTATTACAAATCCCGAAATATAAAAGGTAGACCTCGTAGATAAAAATTTTATGACGAATCATCAAAAATATGCTCGCAGTCAGTACGCAGTAAGGAGTAGATCGCACATGAATTGATTAATTAAGATTGTTTCGCTTACCGTAGGTTTTTTATTTTCCTGCGTCAGTCTTTTTTCAAGTAGGCTGCTAATAATTTTATTTTGAACGTCGTTCTTGGGCGCGATGTCTTGTTCCCTGTCCGAAATGTTACTTTTCCTTGTCTGGCACTCCTTTTCCAAATAACTGTTTGCGTTGGGCGTGCCGGGAAAAATCGTGCCGTAGTTTTTGTAGATCAAATGACAAATATCGGCCTTTTTTGGTTTCCTTCCCCGTCTGGGTTTCGAGTTCTCCAATGTTATTTCACCCATGTAAGGTAAATCTTGAAACTGAACTACTCTGTTGGGAACCGCGTTGGTACCGTTAACGCTACCCGGCTGATTGACCGTTTTCTTTTGGAACTCATTTTGAATTTCGGTGATTTTTTGCAGCCAATTTTTTACAGTCTCGCTGGGATTTTCTTCCGGTATACCGGAAAATATGCGCGACGATTTTAAATCCGGATTTTCGCCTATTTTTTCTTCTTCGGAAATCGAGGACGATTCTTCCGAAGTTACCTCAACCTTTTCGATTTCGTCTTCTAAATTTATGTCTTCTAGTTTAATGGAATCGTCGCAAAATCTGAAAGGACAATACTCATTGAAGACTTTAATAATTAATAAAAGAATTAAAATAAATCTTTTCTATTGCATGGATCAGTTAAACGACCTATCAGCAATCAGTTATCGGGATAAACCATCGGATAAAAAGAGCGACACTCCCTCGTTATAAGCGAAACATGCCCAGCTCCCTCCCTACTCTTCGCCTTCCTTAAAAACACTTTTATTGGCACTCGGCGTAGACGGGATGTCGGGCATATCACTTTACAATTACGTGTAAAAATGTAAAATGTTAATTACTTATTTTCTAGAATATATATATATATATATATATATATGTCGGTCTAGAACGTTCTACGCCGTTTTCCGACACCTAACCTCCACTCTTCTCTATTTAACCATAGCTGGTCTGGTAATTCTCTTTCTATTAGTTCCTTTTCTATTCCCTCCTTCCGCCTAACTCCGCCTGGGGTCTCTAAGGGGTGGATTGAGTAACTCTAAAGAGACCACTGCCGGTCCCAAGCCCGGATAAAGGAGGAGGGTTGGGGCGATAGGCCAGCTCCCTATCACCCTTAAAAACCTGTAAAATGCTAAAAAACCTAACCAAAGCCTCGGAATCGGACGGAAAAACCAAAAAAGACTTAAGCAACGAAAAAGGACAATGAACTATGGGACATGGAATGTTCAAGGACTAACCCGGAAAATGAATGAAGTAATCTCAGAAATAAAAACTCTTAAATTAGATATTGCGGTAATTACAGAGACGAAGAGAAAGGGACAAGGATCGGAAAGCATGGGATATTACGATCACTTCTATAGTGGAGTTACGAAAGACCGGAGAGCACAACAAGGAATATCCATACTGATAAAAAGAAAGCTGAGGAGGTACATACACTCTTGGGAAGCTATCAGTGAACGAATGATGAAGATGAATTTAACTATATATGGGTACAGAGTAACTATTTTTGGTGTGTATGGAGTAAATGACGACTCTCTAGTGAATACAAAAGACCAATTCTTCGAGGACCTAAACCAGGAAATAACAAAAGTAGGGAAAACGAGAGAAATTATTATACTTGGAGACTTGAACTGCAGAGTGGGCAAAAATAGAGACAGCCAAGTAGTAGGACCATATGGAGAAGAGACAAAAAATGATAACGGAAATCGATTGATAACTTTATGTGATTTTCTAGAATTTGTTTTTAAAATATTGTATTGTAGATGAATGAAACAAAAACAAATTATTATCATCATTTATATTACAGAAAGTAATAAATTATCGTTATTGACCTAATTAATCTAATCAAATATTATTATAAACATATATTCAATTTTTTGTCTCTGAGGCGTACATCCATTTAGGGCTTGAGAAAGTTTGACAAAAAGAATATTTACTTTACATGGGTGAATAACTATGCCTCCTTTAAGGACGATAAACTTTTAACATGTGTTCCAGCAGAATTCTTGTGAGTTTGAAATCTCCTTTACCAATAATACAATTAAACTATATATTAATTATAATATTTTAATCCAGTTGAGTTCTGATGCATATTTAGGAAGAAAACTAAGATCCGTTTGTTCGAATTACAAAAGTCTCGCTACTAAACCCAGTGTTATTCTACCAGAAATTAGTTTTACCCTGATTATTATTATAATTTTTTTTTTTTATTATGACATTATTCACAAAAATAATGTAATGTTCATATTGATATAAAATAAATGTTCAACTAATGTTGTACTATATTTTAAAATATTTCACCAAAGGCCATTATAATTTTTTAAAAATGGTTTGCATAGGCCAAGTAATTATTTATTTTTATAATCCATCCGTGGTAAATACGCCAGTTGGCCTTTGAGTTGAGTTGTTATTGTTGTATTGTTCAACAACAAGCTTCAACAGCGGATGAAGCCAACAGGATGATTGGCGAAACGTTAGCTTCGAGTCAACAAAAACCGACGCAGGAGGCATCCAGAAGTTTTGTAAATAGTATTACAGTAGCCTGTGGAAGTTTATTTAAGTCATCATCATCTCGAACTATTTGATCTAATCGCAACAATGAAAAATCGGAGAGTATCCCTTCTTATCGTAGATCCGTATGAAATCCTGTCAAAAATTTTCGACACACGTTTTCTGCTGCTAGAATTTTATTTAAAAAAAAACGGACTTGTTTAAACAAAAATTGACAATCTGCGATCATTTGCCAACTAGAGGGAGTTTGTAAAAGCCCTTAAACAATTGTTACGTAACTTTTTCATTTTTAACACAAGAATTGGTAATCATTAGTCAAGATTTTCCAACTTGTCTCCCTCGGACTCATCTTTGGGTAATAGTATATTATGCAACAAGTGTGGTAAACGTCATTTGAATCACGAGTTTATTTGACACGAGCGGAGCCAGTTTTTAATAAACAAGCGAGTTAAAAAGTTTACCGTACGTGTTGCATACTATACTTTTTCTATGACCGTTAGTTTTTGGGTATATTTTCGCAAAACAACACGAATACATTCACTGACATGACCATCAGAATTGACAAATGTCGAAATTTAAAGCGTGGGAAATATCTCTGAAAACATTCGATTGGTCCCAAATCCGTGCGGTAAAATCCCGGAAATGTCCGAAGTGGCTGGGACTCATGGGAAACGAAACATACGTGGTAAAGTGACGCTTCCCACACCCTAGATCGGTGGGTAATTAGGTATTTCACAGACGGGAGTAGAAAATAGTATATTATGCAACAAGTGCGGTAAATGGCATTTGACTCACGAGTTTATTTGACACGAGCGGAGCGAGTGCTTCATAAACTAGTGAGTTAAAAAGTTTACCGAACGTGTTACATACTATACTTTTTCTACGACCGTTATTTTTTGGGTACATTTTCGCAGAACAACACGAATACATTCACTGACATGGCCGTCAGAATTGACAAACGTCAAATTCAAGGGGTGGGAAATATCTCCGAAATCATCCGATTACTCCCAAACCCGTGCGGTAAAATCCCGGAAATGTCCGAAGTGGCTTTGAATCATGGGAAAAGAAACTGACGTGGTTAAGTGAGGCTTCCCGCGCACTAGATCGGTGGGTAATTAAGTATTTTAAGGACGGGAGTAGAAAAAAGATATTACATATAGAGAAGATATAACTACTAGAAACTAACTATACAGTTGCAGTAAAACGAGCTTTTGAAAATGTAACGCATTTAAAACTCATCAAAACTCTCGGCAGTTTGTCATCACTTACTTTAGGTATATAAATAAATAATTTCTCTTATTGTAATTGTACCATTTTGTTCATTTGTAAATGTTCTTACATCGTTATTAACGTTACTAAATTATTTAAATTAATTTTTGTGTTTTTGCTCGGCTTTAATTTGATGCTACCTAATATCTGCTGGACGCAATAAAATGCAAAATATATTGTGTATGTAACATGTAACTAATTATCAAGCAGATTTAAAAAATATTCGAGTGTATATGGTAAGAAAAATTTATTGACATGGATTTGTCCGTTTGGAACAATAAAATAATTCATAACAATTGAAGTAAAATATAATGTACGAAAACTTAATTTTTATGTTCATATCAAATTTCTATAAATAACAAAAATTTGCAGAGTTATAACAAATGCCCTCTAGCGGTGAAACGGTTCCCACAAGAAAACAATTTGTTTGGCATTGTACATCAAAATGCGTGGCAAAGACATATTGTTGAAATCTCCATTATGTGCTTGGTTACTTCGGAAAATGTTCACTTACTGGTCGACATCAGTTAATGTGTCGTTCGGCTCTTGGGAACGGACAAATGCAACAGTCTTCGAAAAAGTCATTTTATCGGACAACGATAGGTCAGCACAGCTAACTGCTTCATCGACTTCTTCCGATTGCATGGTAAAATGTTCTGCAAAAATAAAAAATCGAGATCAGTAACCAAAAATTTTGGTCGTTTATCTGATAACTTTAGCTATTACTAGTGTCATCTCTTTAATTCAGTTATATTAATTTGTTACATAATCAATGAATGAATGAAATTAAACATTTTTCTCAAAAAATAATGAATGAATGATGAAAGTAGATTTGGTTTTGAGTGGGATGTTGCTATGCATTTTTGTTAAGGTAAATATTTCGAAAAATAAGGCTACAATTTAGATTTTTCGAAATATTAATTTTTTTTAAGCAGTAAGTAATAATTATTAAGCCTGCGAATCATTTATGTCAAAACTATTAATAATATGATATGTTTGTTTATTATATAAAGTGTCATAAAAATATAAATACTGCATTTACCACGTGTCGACTGATATCAGTAGCAGTTTTGTATAACCAGTTCTACCGTGAGTTTCAAAAAAGCTTCTTGCAAATTTATCACTAATTTTTCCCTTATGTCGCATCGAAATCACTGGTCATTACAAACAAAACAAAGTGTATGAAAAATGTGTATGAAAGTTCAGTAAGTGGCAAGTTGTAGGTAGTAAACAAGAAGCTTTATTCACTTATTTACAAAAAATACCAATATTCTCTATAAAAGATAGGATAAACAGTAAATTATAGAATGAAAAAAACGTAGTGATTTCAATCAAGATATGATAAGAAGAAAAGAAAATATGTTCCCACTATCAAAACCAGATTGTTCCTATTTTGGATAACTAGAAAGGAAGCTCGAAGAAGATATTTTAAGATGGGATAAAAATACCTCAAAATAGACAAAGACTAGTTATAACGGGATCGTAGAGATTCATTCCTTCATTCAATAAAAAGTATATATCTGAAGACATGTATAATTCATCTAGATGAAACGTGGTTCGAGGCAAGCGACGTAGTATCCATACGATGGGTTGATTCCAATAAGAACTGTCAAACAAAACCACCTTCAAGTAATGGAAACCTCATCGCCATAATTCAGGCTGCATCGGAACAAGGATTTATTACACACTACTTGATGTTGCCTGCGAAGAATATTAATGACTCTAGCTTGGACTATCATGAAAACTGAAAACCACTAAGAAATTAATACTTTTATAATATAGAAATATAGTAGTAAAAAAAATTGGTACAAATTTTGTTGTTTTTAAGGCTTACTTTAATATAACGCCACTTAAACGGCAATTAGTACAATTTTTTTGGAAGTACCAAGAAATACAAAATAAACACCAAATAATGTAGTAGCTCCCAAATTTGCGATCAGTTATTGCTGTTCCCTCAAAAGGCGTTGCACAAAATCTGGGCTGGGGCTGGTACTTAGATTTGACAACCTACTGATGATAAGTTTCGCGAAAATGTAGCGCATCGCTCTATCTTTGCTAATAACGGAGATTCCTTGCATATACAACCAAAATTAGACACACCATACAACGAAACGTATTACTTCCAAAATAGTAGGTATATGAAATAGAAATTGCCACTGGCAACCGCAATTGGAATGCTGCATTTTCTTCTAAGTAAGGATTCGTTGAATACTTCCGTCTTAAAATAAAAAAATAGGTTATGACTGAAGCAATGTTCTAAAAATAGGTGATGGATGATGTGCAATCACAGATTTCGTGTACTAGTTTGAAAAACAGAACTGATTTCGGGGCGGATACTTAATTACATGATTACGTTACGAAAATATTTAATTATGAAAGACGCTAAAGAAAATGTTTTGTGCGCGATATTTAAAAATTTGGAAAGTCATTGACGACACATTTGGGTATTTATTACCCTCCAACTTATAGCAACAGGCGATAAAGAAAACATTAAATCAGCTTCAACTGCTTACTCTCGTGCATGTTATCCTCGCAGAATTGTGTAAACTTAATATACACAAATATCTTGTAATTCTTCGTGCGACATACAGGAAGTCCAACGAATAAAAACACCACGTATAACCGGAAGGCTTAATAAAAAAAAAACAACTCGAGCCCGCGATTTTAAAGACGTGAAACTCTATTCAAGTCGGTAGCCAATTATTGTCTATAAACTTGGGAAATGCCGAAAAAGCCAGAAGGCAAGCAACGTGCAACTAGCCGTACAAGGCCGTTATCGGCGTCGCGGCTAGCTATTTCTGGCGTCCCGATGCTCCTTAACCCCCCCTCTTCTACGGCCCCAGTATATTCTTGATTTGGACGTCGGTGTAACCCGAGATTGAACCTTATTCGGTACTAGAGCCACATTTCAGAGTTATTATTAACCCGTACGGGCGTTCTTAGGTTGCTGATTCTTGATTTTGCCCCAGTGGGGGCTCGTCGCTATCAGTATAATTGCTTTCGGGAGAAATAGCACACAAAACAACAGCTTCGTATTTTCATATTATCTACGACTACGAATGATGGTTGGGGAGGAGGGAGTAGATTTCAAATTTTGATAGCTGATTAGGTTCCGTTTGAAAGACGAGTTATTTATTAAGTTCCTTACAGAGTGTCCTTTAGTACTGAAATCTAGCTCTGTCTGCAATACTATGTACAGTTGTAATATTTAGATGAAAGTACAAATTAAGATACTTTTCTAAGATAAGATAAGATAACTATCCCTTTATTTAGTGCTTGGCTAGTTAGAATAGAACAAATAACAAGTAACATTGCCTAGCAAGTTGTATGATTAATATACATATCGAAAAATAACGATTTCTGTAGGGAAACTGTAACACCTGGGTCAATATTGTAGCTTTACCTAACACCTATGTTTTTTATTTTGTAAATTAAAAAAAAAATTGTCCTTTTAATGCTTTACTCAACCTTCATTGCCTGTAGTATGTTCCTCACTGGAGCGTATCTATTATAATTGAGTGTTATGCGCAGTGCTTTATTTTATTGCACTTATAGCCTATATAAATTTACATTACATTGAGGCAAGACCAAGAAATGCCACATAAAAACCAATTTCCTTTTCCAACTCTTTACATAAATAATCTATATGATTAAAGAAATTAAGCTGTGGATCTAATACAATTTTTCTACTCCCTTCTGTAAAATGCCTAATTACTAATTAATTCAGTTTCGTTTCTCACGGATCCGAGCCACTTCGGACATTTAAAATTGAAGGTTAGGACCTGCTTTTTCTTGATTATAAGGTCTTAAAAATATAATCTTCTTGAAAATTCTATCCTTGGACGATTTTCCTTCCAATTACAGTCTTTTTCTTTAAATAAACTACTTAATGATCAATTTTAGAAGTTAAATATACAACATAACGTTTTAAAATTGTGTTTATTCCGTTGTTTATATGACATATCCAATAATACAGCTCTCTCTGTCTAACGTACACAGTTAAAAAGAAACAACAATAGCAGAACCGATCTGAACGATAAATGAGTAGGTTTAAAGGCAACTGCTAAATATGTTGTTTGAATTGTACGAAATTTAGTAACCAGTTATTATTAATCTGTTATTATTTTTAATTTTTTAAATTGTGATTCTTTCGTGACGATCGTAGAAAAAGTATAGTATGCAACACGTGTGGCAAATTCTTTATCTCACTCCTTTATTAAGCACTCGCTCCGCTCTTGCCAAATAAACTCGTGAGTGAAATGTTGTTTACCGCACTTGTTGCATAATATACTATTTTCTAATCCCTCTAAAATACTATTTTCTACTCTCGTCTGTAGAATGCCTAATTACACACCGATCTAGCGTGCAGGTCACTCAAAATTTCCAGTCCACTGAAATTAACGTGACATAGGAAAATAAGTTGATAAATGACCTATTTAACACTCCCTACGGAACCTTCCACATACTACCTAAACTACTTGATAATTCATTTTCTGTTTTAGTTCTATGATAGCTGTCAGATATATAATTCTGAAGCCACCACAATGCACTGCCTTGTATGCGATGTGAAAATAACTTTTTTATTAAATTTTTTCTATCAATTGTTTCCAACGCACCCAGCAGGTTCACAAACACACTAACCACCACCTTTTCTACATTTATGTCTTTTCTCCATGTTGCCCATACATACCGGAGAGCGGATTCACATGAATAATTACTTCTAAATCTACACTGCCTAACGAATAATACCTGATTTGTTATTATTTCTATAATTTTTTTCACGACTGGTAGCAAATTAACTGGCCTGAATTCTGTAGGAATTTAGAGTTTTGATACTTTAGATATAGGGACTATGACACTAGTTTAATTTTACTTGGAATTTTACGACGATCTAGAGAAGTCTTTCACTAACTTAACACTAGTGCTTTTATTTTTAAAACCTTTCCCACTTTTTCCAAGTTCTGATAAGTTACAAGTTTCTAAATTTAACAAGCTTTGTCCGACAGTTCTATCCATATATAAGCTCCAGTTAAAAATCTTCTATAGCTCCTTAATACTTTTCATAGTCTACGTTGGAAAATTCTATAGTCTGCAATACTCACAAATACTTTTTTTTATTATTTAACATTAATTTTTAATGGAGTTGATGATTTTATAGAATTTGAAGAATTCAAATTGCCAATGCCGGAAATATGACATACACAGAGATTTTGGTATTGTTATTAACAAAAACGTAAAGAAACATTTGTACCAAAAGATATTAGAAGCTTGTAACCCCACAGGAGATAAATAAACTGAAGATCCTCTAATTCATGGCATAATTTGAGAATAGGATTGTTATATATTGCTGATATACACGAAAGATGCTCCACCAGGCATAGGATGATACTGATAAAACACGGAACTTTACTATAACTATATTAGACTTTTCTATTAGTGGATTGGATATAAAGAATTTTATTTTCTAATTGACTGACGTTGACTGACAATAAAAGTCTGTAAACTTTCAATACAATTTTAATGTAAGTTCGGTTTTTAAACTATCGGTAGTTCAAAAATATTGTTAAATATACCGAATAAAGTCGGAAGTGAGCAATGGAAAATCGGAAATTTTTCACAATATTTGATTGCGCTTTAATCCAATTGAAAACTCCAAGTACAGTTAAGTTAAATGCAAAAATTCAAAATGTGTGATAAAAACGACTTGTTCACGAATATAGCCGATGTCTTCTATCGATTCTTCAAAACATATTTTAAATGTGATGGTTTCAAAAGAGCTGCTACTGAATAATACAGCTTGGAGACATATTGGGTCAACATTTCGTGCTTTGTGGAAGCGTTTCAAACCGTTTTCCTAACCACATAAGAGAACTATTCAAATTATATCGTTAAATAATTATGCGACTATTCTTAGTAAAGGTGTGACATAAAAATACCAATTTTGTAAACAAGTTTATAATGGATATATCGCAACAAGGCAAATAAGGAATATATCCAACTGCCAACGCGTTTTGTGTTTCTTTTCTGGGCGTTTACATAGCCGCGCGTTTCATGGTAGTACTTCTAAAGTTATTTTTAAAATTTATTTTAAAAGATTTGATGTATCAATCAAGTGAAAAATGGCACTTGAAATATGACACCACAGTTTTAAAAGGAAGTTAACGCCAAAGAGTCCCGGAAATTACAAAAACTCGGTTTCTAGAAAAATGTCTGATATCAACCATAATTAAAATGCGTCTTACTTTAAACCTAAGGTAACGACCATTTTTTAAAAATAAATGTCCATATCTCCAAAATGGTTTAACGCATATCAATACACTTGGAGTAGGGCTTCGCTTAGGCTGCCAACCGTGCTATAAGAGACACAATTGTGATAATAGTTTTTATTGTGATTGCTTACCTTGACATCAGGTAGAGTCTTCAGACACAATCGAGAAAAAAATGAAAATAAGGGCACAGTGACCTGACGAAACCCCCACCTGCGTTTCTTTATCCTAACCCAAAATTTGAATAAAAGAACGCTAAAAAAGTTGGATTTTTAGACAAAATCCTAATTTAATTATTTTAAATTTATTAAATAAAACTCTATTGCAATTGGTTGTGGTACCTAGTATCTTCCAGTAGTTTAAAAAACATTATTTCTTATTTTCTTAGAGAACATCAAATTTACATGCAGGTTAGCAAAAAGGATTTATACGGAACGGTTCCTACATCGTCATCAGCTGAGCAATTGGAGCATCATTTGAAAAATGGAAATTATCAATAACTTGTCTGAAAACAATTTTACCGACATTTGACAATATTTAACATCAAAATAAAATGTTATTATTTATATTTATTACCTTTTATCCAAAGCCTGCGAAGGTCAAAGTGAAATAAGCCCGTAGCTGATTAGTTCTACGTTTTGACATGCTTAGCCGTTGACAATTAAACAAAAACAATTAATTCTTGAAGTCTAACCAATATTATTATTGAAGTAGTTAAATGTGATATTGAAATAACCAGTACTTTTCTTCTGGCCACTGGATTACGATGAGTTTAAATAAACCTTTTTGAATGCAATACATATTTAAGAAATTAAAACAGTATGCGATCAATAGACTTTGACAAGCATCAAATAATGACATGAAAGTTGGGCAGCGTTTGTTCAGATAAAAACAGAATTCGTTTTGCTGGAAATCTTGATGATTATAAATATAATTCATTCATTTCGGTCAAAAAAGATGTTTTTCTACTCCCGTCTGTAAAATGCCTTATTATGTACCAATCTGCCGTGCGTAAAGTGTCATTTTACCACGTCAGTTTCATTTCCCTCGGATCCGAGCCACTTCGGACATTTCCGGAATATTACCGCACGGGTTTGGGAGCAATCTGATGTTTTCGGAGATATTACCGCACGGCTTGAATTTTGACGTTTGTCAATTGTGGCGGTCGTGTCAGTGAATATATTCGTGTTGACTTGCAAAAATGTACCCAAAAACTAATGGGCGTAGAAAAACTATGGAATGCAAAACTCGCTCTGTTCGTGCCAAATAAACTCGCCACTCAAATGTTGTTTACCACCAGAATTGCCAAAGCTAATATTGCGGTAATACTCCGAAAATGTCCAAAGTGGCTTGCTTGAATCCGCGGGAAACGAAACTCACAAATGGTGGTTCCTGCACGTTAGATTGGTGTATAATTAGGGAGTAGAAAATGGTATATTATGCAACAAGTGCGGTAAACTGCATTTGACTCACGAGTTTATTTGACACGAGCGGAGCGAGTGTTTAATAAACGAGTGATTTAAAAAGTTTACCGAAC